GGCCCCGCCGTCGCCGCCGTCGTGCGCCTACCCGGCCGCCGCCCACCGAGCGCCGGCCCTGCTTGCCCGGCGAGCGCCTGCCCTTCCCGCCACTGGTGAGCACCTACCTTGTTCGCGCGCTGCCGCGTCATCTGCCTGCCTGTCTGCCTGCCTGCCTGCCTGCCGCACCTGCCCTGCCCGCAATGTTACTGCTGCTAGGCTGCTGCTGCTGCTACTGCTGCCACTTCTGCTACTGCTGCCACTTCTGCTACTTCTGCCACTTCTGCTACTGCTGCTACTGGCGGTGGCCAGATGCAGCTCCAGCGACGTCCACGCGAGTCTCTCCCGCCCCAGCAGCTTCGTGAGTGGTACGCTAGTTGGGGTTGTAGCGGTAGCCGTCGTAGCTGTCGCCCTGGAGATGGTCAGTTGGGAGCGTCTGGCAGTGGCCAGCTGCAGCTGCAGCGGCGTCCACGCGAGACACTTACATCCCATCAGCTTCACGAGTGGTACGCTCAGAGTAGAGGGTCTCGGAGTACCGTTCGCTGCCCGTACGTCATTCGCACAGGTGATCGGGCTGGTCAGGCTTGCAGGACACTTGGTCACACACAGTCCCGCTGCTTCGCCCGTCTGAGCGACGCCTGGCGTACCGAGTTTGGCGACGAGGCTGAGCTCCCCACCTGGCTGGAGCTGCTTGGGCAGAGGGTAGATATCTTTGCTCTTGACTATGATGCTATTCTCACTGCCATGTATTCATTGCCTACTAGTGCTGACCGTGCCTGTTACCTGTGCGTACCGCCTGACCCAGGTATAGAGCCTGCTGCTCTAGGTGCTGGTGAGGCTGCTGCTCTAGGTGCTAGTGCGTCTCCTGCTCTAGGTGCTGGTAAGGCTTCTGCTCCAGGTGCTGGTGAGTCTGCTCTCTCTGGTACTACGACTGCTGAGGCCTTGTACACCTTCACACTTGACTCAGGTGCTTCTCGCTCCTTCTTTCGCGACAGCACCACCCTCACGCCGCTCCGTCGGCCGGTTGCAGTCTCCCTGGCAGACCCCTCTGGGGGTCCAGTCCTTGCGCACTCCTCCACGGTCCTGCCGTGTCCGGCGGTCCCGTCTGGCTCCCTGTTAGGTCTTCACCTCCCCTCGTTCTCTACGAACTTGGTGAGTGGTGCTGACCTCCAGGACCAGTGGGTTGACCAGTTCACTCCTGGAGGTCAGCGCGTGACCCACTGTACGTGCTCCCGGACGGGCCGGCACCTGGCCACGTTTACCCGTGCGCCTGGCTCGAGTCTGTACACACTGACTACTATGTCCCCTCAGGTCGCTGCGTCTGCGTCTATGTCAGGTCAGCTAGCGGCCCCCTGCTCGTGTCGCGCTTTGTCGCACCAGACCCTCCTTTGGCACCACCGCCTTGGTCACCCCTCGGTGCAGCGCCTTCGTAGCATGCACCGCCGTTTCCTTGTCTCTGGACTTCCAGAGACTCTGCCTCCTCTACCACCCTCGCCTGCTCCTCCCTGTCTTCCCTATGTCGAGGGGCGGCAGTGCGCCGCTCCTCACTCCTCCTCGTTTCCCCCGACGACTGCTCCCCTGCAGACCCTGCACATGGACGTGTGGGGCCCAACCCGCGTCCGTGGGCAGGACCGCGAGCGGTACTTCCTGCTAGTTGTTGACGACTACTCGCGTTACACCACGGTCTTCCCCTTGTGCACCAATGGTGAGGTCCCTGATGTTTTGATCCCTTGGATCCGCGCTGCCCGTCTCCAGCTCCGCGAGCGGTTCGGGACGGAGTTTCCCGTCCTGCGTCCTGCGCATCAGCTCAACCTCTGGCCCCGTGTCTCCTTGCCGGAGACCTCGCCCACACTGCGGTGGACGGGGGAGGTTGGCGATGCGTCGGTATTCCGGGTCTGGGGTTCTCGTGCCTTTGTCCGCGATACCACCGCGGACAAGCTCTCCGCCCGCGCTGTTCCCTGTGTCTTCCTTGGCTTTGTCCCTGACGCGCCTGGTTGGCAGTTTTACCACCCCACCTCGCGCCGTGTCTTCCCCTCTCAGGACGTCACGTTCGACGAGTCGGTTCCCTTTTACCGTCTCTTCCCCTACCGCACTGCCCCTCTTCCCCCCCCGCCGCTCTTCCTCGCTCCAGGTGCTCCCCAGGTAGACCCCCTCCCCGCTCCCGGTCCTGCTCCTTTAGGTGTGTCTCAGGTAGACCCTCCTCCCTTGTCTGCGCCGGTTGAGGTCACTGGTGACTCAGGTCCTGCTGGGGGTGGTCCTGCTCGGGGTGCTGCTTCTGGGGGTGCTGAGCCTGGGCGTGAGGAGTCTGGGGGTGCTGAGCCTGGGGGTACTGAGTCTGGGGGTGCTGCACCTGGGGGCGCTGAGGCGTCTGGTGAGCAGTCTCCCTGGAGCGGCCGTCTCCGTAGTCGCTTCGCTGGTGCCTCGCCGCTGCACTCTCGTCGTCGTCTCCCTCTCTCCCCACAGCAGCTGCGTGAGTGGTACGTTAGCCGTCAGGGTCGAGCTGCTGGAGCTGGGGGCCCTGCTGCGGGAGGTGCTGGTGTTAGAGGCACTGGAGCCAGCGCTGTCCCTCTCTCCCCACAGCAGTTGCGTGAGTGGTACGTTAGCCGTCAGGGTCGCGCTGCTGGAGCTAGGGGCCCTGCTGCTGGAGGCGCTGGAGCTGGTGACTCTACTACTGGTGTTGTTTCTACTAGAGTTCCTGGAGCAGCTGGTCCCGGAGGTGCTCGTACTGGAGGTACTGGAGCTGCTGGGACTGGAGGTCCTGCTGGACCTGGAGGTGCTGCTGTCGACTCTGAGGTTGGGGGCCCTGGAGCTGGAGGTGCCGGCTCTGGGGGTCCTACTGCTGGTGGCGCTGGAGCTGGAGGTTCTGGAGCTGCTGCGGGTGCTGGCGCTGGAGGTTCTGGAGCTGTTGGAGGTGCTGGCGCTGGTGGCGCTGGAGCTGGAGGTTCTGGAGCTGCTGCGGGTGCTGGCGCTGGAGGTTCTGGAGCTGCTGCGGGTGCTGGCGCTGGAGGTTCTGGAGCTGTTGGAGGTGCTGGCGCTGGTGGCGCTGGAGCTGGAGGTTCTGGAGCTGCTGCGGGTGCTGGCGCTGGAGGTTCTGCAGCTGTTGGAGGTGCTGGCGCTGGTGGCGCTGGAGCTGGAGGTTCTGGAGCTGCTGCGGGTGCTGGCGCTGGAGGTTCTGCAGCTGTTGGAGGTGCTGGCGCTGGTGGCGCTGGCGCTGGAGGTTCTGGAGCTGCTGCGGGTGCTAGCGCTGGAGGTTCTGGAGCTGCAGGAGGTGCTGGAGCTACTGTTCTTCGCTCCGCCGTCACCTTCGTCTCTGCCACCGCCTGGTTCCGTGCTTCGCCAGGTTCTGAGCCTCCCGTCTTCTACTGGTCTTCCGTTACAGCCTGGCTCACCGCTGCCTGCTCCTGCTCCTTACACTGAGCTGACAGGCGGTCTTGCTGAGCGTCGTGAGCCTGCGTCTCGTCCTGTCTCGCCTGTTCGCACTGTCCGCACTGGTCGTACTGGTCGTCGTGTTCCTCGTGAGCGTCCGCCGGCTGTCCCCGGCACACACCTCATGACTGGTCTTGTGACCCCTTGCTCTCCCCCACTTTGCCTATGGGGGTGTGTCAAAGTATATGCATGTTATATATGTGTAGGCTGTAGTGGGGTAGACAATATGGGGTACAGCCCCTTTTAGGGTTTCATACTTGTACCCAACTCTCTCATAGTTCATTCATTCCTGTCTCTAGATTCTGACACATGCTGCCCCCTGCCCAATTAGACGCTCCAGCTGCCACGAGGGTCGCAACCACTGTGCGCGGTTGCACCCTTATAGCTCGCCAGGTGGGTCACCATTCTCGATATGGAGACACTCGCTGCTACACTTCAAATAGTGCAGTACATATAAATATTCCGTATAATCATACCGTAACACGTTCTAGTATATGTACTTGGGTATGTTGACATTGCACGAATCATCGTGCGGATCACAATATGTACACCATATATGATACAAATGAGCATATAGACAATACATAATAGATATATATATATATATATATATATATATATATATATATATATATATATATATATATATATATATATATATATATATATATATATATATATATATATCTGCCATTGTTACTGTTGATGCTTACTGGGCACATGTTTAATGGACAATGCTTATTAGAAACACATTTGATTCATAATTTTGGGATTATACCTATTGAACAAACTTTTCAAACGAGACATGTATGGCTGCTTCCGTTGACCTGCCACACCACTTCCTGTGTTGAAATGTTTTACAGGAAAAAGAAGTGCGAAAGTTTGCGACACTGTAGCCTCTCGCTCCACACGACCCGTCGATTCTCCTTTCTTTCCCGGTTGTTTGTGATAACCTGTAATCTGCCCAAACAGAAGCTTATCTGTCAATCCGACGACAGTTTGTGCGTGTTCCACGATGCCAGCGCAGCAGAAGCTGAGCGAATCAATGTAGGCGAACTTGTGCGGGAAGAGAGGGCGCAGCGCATGCGCGCACATTTACACGCGCACATGCGGGATCCACGCGAGAGCACGCTCTTGCTGACATGGAACCGCGCGGACGGGGGAAAAGATGAGCAGAGGAGAGTAACCGCCATAATATCTTCGCCGGATCGCCTAACAGCTTTCGCGAGGTCGTGATGACGTGTCCACAGATTCGCAACGTGCAGTACACATTTCGTACACCTTCGCATGCTTATCTCCCTCTCCTCCCATCCTTGAACTGACCCCCAAAACATATTTTTTTTCACCGTAGTCTTTGCTGTCACATCGAATTCAACACACCTGAGGGCAAATATCGTTGAGCAGAAATTGGCTGTCGCCGGAACCGAAGGCTCTACTATTTTCTGTGGAACTGAGTAAAACAAGGACACATTAATATAGGCCAAATGACATCAACCGGAAAAGCAGCCGGAGCGCCAGTCACTGCAGGAATCTCTAATGCTGCGTCAGAAGTTGTCTGTGTCACCTCAGGGAACACGGGTGAGATTTCAGTCACCATGGATAGTCCACCTGCGCCTTCGCTCCCGCAAGCAGCCGCCGGTACTAGTATAGCCATTCCTCCCCCTAGTGTCACGTCCTGTACAGTCACAAACCCGCTCGCTGCGGCGATCCCGGCGCGCAGTGTGACGCAATCCACGTCTCCGGAGCGCAAGTACCAGCGCGCATTGGAGAGCGCGTCATTAGAGAGCGCGCACAAGCGCGCCAGCTCCGTCCGCTTCGCCGACGACGATGACGTGGAGCCGGGCGGAAGCGGAGATGCCGGCGGGGGCGGGGAAAGCGGCGGAGGCGGTGGAGGAGGAAGAGGCGGCGGAAGAGACGGCGGAAGAGGCGGCGGGTCGAGGGAGGCTAACGAACAAACGTTGGCGGATGACGCGGCATCGTCTGATGGAATATCGCTCGAGTCGATGAGCCGCGCGGGGAGTCAGCGGGAGCGCGAGGAGTGGCAGCTGGACTACAGCCAGTTCGAGGCGGCGCGGCGCGACCTCGACGACGGCCATGGCCGGCTGCGAATGCTCAGACGGCGTGAGTTGCGCTGCTGCGAGCTGATGCTTGCTCTCGGGGACCCGACATTTGAATGTCCCACTCCATTTTCGTTTGTTTGTTTGTTTGTTTGTTTGTTTGTTTGTTTGTTTGAGTCAAAGCGGTGCACACCCTTTTTTTAAGGCGCCTTCGCGCCGCGGATTGCCGCATCAGATTTCATCCATCCTGCTGCTTGCGCATCAAGCCCATGCTCGCATCTTCTTCCTCCCCACGTCCGCGCCACATCCGCTTCCTTTTTCCCCGCTCCCGTTTCCCCCGATTCTCATTTTTCCGCACACGCGCGCTTTCACGCACGCGTGCGCTGCAGTGGCGGGGCGGAACCCCGTGGACGGATACTACCGGCAGCAGAACGAGACGATTGACGGATTCAGTGAGATGGGTAGTAGTACCCACACGTGAGCGTTTCCTGCCTTTTGCCGCGTCCATTTCCCCCCCGTTTCTCCCTGTTCTCGCGCGCTGCAGTGGCGGGGCGGAACCCCGTGGACGGATACTACCGGCAGCAGAACGAGATGATTGACGGATTCAGTGAGATGGACGCGCTCAGTGAGCAGCTGCTGCCGCCCACTCCCAGTGTACGTTCACCTGCTCAGAAAGCCCTGCACCGCTGTGCACCCCGATGCACCCGTGTGCACCCATTGTCACCGCTGTGCACCGGTTTATCTGTACCAACTGACGCACTCAGCGTCGCTCTGTTTATCCTCTTCATGCCTCTGTGTCTGTCCCTGTCCTCCCCGGTGGCAGGAGGTGAGGGAGGCTCGGCAACTCCAGCGGCACGAGATCATGGCCGTGCAGGTGGGTTGGGTTGGGTTAAATCCGGTTGTGTTGGGTTCGGTGGGGTTGGGTTTGATCCGAAGGTTGCGTAATGCACGGCTTGCTCGTGAGTCCATCCAGCATCTGCTCTCTCCATCAACCCCTGCTCCCCCTCCCCCAGCTCAGATATATTCGAGACGTCTTAAACATTGAGCCCAACCCACGCCTGCTCTGCTCTGCTCTGCCCGATTAACCCCTGCCCATCCCAATCAACCCCTTCTCCTCCTCCCCTAGCTCAGATATCCAAAGACGCCAATGCGTGCTTAACCGGTCTGCTGTGCTCCTCACATCATACTCCACCCCACTGCATCCCGCCCCACCTCACTTCACCGCACCCCACACCCACGCAGATATCCAACGGCGCCAACGTGTGTCTGTTCATTGTCAAGATCATCGCATCAATCGTCAGCGGCAGCCTCGCCATCCTGGCATCGACTCTCGACTCGCTGCTCACCCTCCCCCAACTCCCCCTCCATGCAAACCCCACCCCCTGCAGGTATCCAACGGCGCCAACGTGTGTCTCTTCATAGTGAAGATCATCGCTTCAATCGTCAGCGGCAGTCTCGCTATTCTCGCATCGACGCTCGACTCGCTGTTGGACCTGCTGTGCGGGTTCATCCTCTGGTACACGGCGCGCACCATGCGCCGCACCAACCCCTACAAGTACCCCATTGGGAAGAGGCGCATGCAGCCCCTGGTGAGTGTTCCATTACCACCGCACTGCACCGCACTTGACTGCTTTGTGCTGCAGTGGATCGCTGCTGGACCTGCTGTGTGGGTTGGTTCATCCTCTGGTATACGGCCCGCACCATTAGCACCATGCAGCCATTGGTACGTTTTCCATTAGCACCATGCAGCCATTGGTACGTTTTCCATTAGCACCATGCAGCCATTGGTACGTTTTCCATTAGCACCATGCAGCCATTGGTACGTTTTCCATTAGCACCATGCAGCCATTGGTACGTTTTCCATTAGCACCATGCAGCCATTGGTACGTTTTCCATTAGCACCATGCAGCCATTGGTACGTTTTCCATTAGCACCATGCAGCCATTGGTACGTTTTCCATTAGCACCATGCAGCCATTGGTACGTTTTCCATTAGCACCATGCAGCCATTGGTACGTTTTCCATTAGCACCATGCAGCCATTGGTACGTTTTCCATTAGCACCATGCAGCCATTGGTACGTTTTCCATTAGCACCATGCAGCCGCTGGTGAGTGTTTGTGCAGGGAAGACTGTCCCTCAGCCTCTCCACCACCCAGCTCCCTGTATCATTGTTGTCATGCGCCCATCCATCCATGCGCCCATCCATCCATGCATTTCCCCCTGCTTTCCTCTCCCATCCCTCCCTCCCCCTACCCCCACCCCCCCCCTTCCATCCTCAGGGCATCATAGTGTTTGCGTGCATCATGGCGTCTCTCGGATTCCAGATCCTTCTAGAAGCAGTGCGCAAGCTCACAGACTCGGTGAGTTGCAGGCTCGGTCACTCAGTCGCAAGCCCGGTGAGACTCAGGCTCGTTGAGTCTCAGGCTCGGTGAGTATGTAGCAAGTATGGAGAGGTGGGGCGCGTATGTGGGCATCAAAGGCTTCAAAGTTCTGTCCTCTCTCTATGATACCATGATATCATGATATCATGGGCCTTAATGGGCCTTAATGGGCCTTAATGGGCCTTAATGGGCCATTAAGTAGGTATCTTGTGCCACGTGCCCCTGCTTGCTGCCTGCCCCATGTCCTTTTCCCCCAACCACCCCCCCCGTTCCCCCCTTCAGAGCCACTCAGCATATATGTGGGGCGTGTATGTGGGCATCATGGGGCTTTAAGGTTTTGCCACATGCACCATGTTTTTTCCTGCGGCCGCGTGTATACACACCCCCCACTCCCCTTCAGAGCCACTCAGCGGGCCTAGGCGAGAAGTGGGGAGTGTATGTGGGCATCATGGGGCTCGTCATTCTCACCAAGCTCATTCTCTTCCTCTACTGCCGCCTCTTCTCCGACGATATCGTTCAAGCCTACGCCCTTGTGAGTGGGCCCACCCCCATGTTGCTTGCATTGCACTCCATGTGTTGCTAGTTTCTAAGCGTCTCAAAGCTCATTCTCACCAAGCTCATCCTCTTCCTCTACTGCCGCCTCTTCTCTGACGATATCGTGCAGGCCTATGCTCTCGTGAGCTCCATGTTCCACCCCATCTTAAAAAGAATCTTGAAAGATATAGAGAAAATTACTCCCTTCCCCCCCCCCCGAGTTCAACATTCCACTCCATGAGTTTTTTTTCCGCATTCGACGTAACACATTACGAGATTCCTCTGCTCTTTGTACCAACACGTGCAGCAACACGAGCTATATATGTGACACTTATTTCATGTTGCTGACCCCATGCACCCACCTTCTCACCCACCCACCTGGATCACATGATGGATGTGGTAACCAACACCGTGGGCCTTGCAGCAGCGGGAGCAGCAGCAGTAACCCATAATCTACACACCCATACCCCACCCCATGCACCCACCAGGATCACATGATGGATGTGGTAACCAACACCGTGGGCCTCACAGCAGCAGTGCTGGCGGGGGAGTACGCCTGGTGGATCGACCCTGTCGGTGCCATCTTTGTGAGTATCGCTCTTTTACTCTACTGTACTCGTATCGTATCGTATCGTATCGTATCTCCCCAAATCATTGCTTTTGCAGCGCCTCAAAAGTCGCCTCGCAGCAGCAGTGCTGGCGGGAGAATACGCCTGGTGGATCGACCCCGTTGGTGCCAAATTCCTTGCTCTTGAGGAGCCTCAAGATTGGTCCTCGCAGCAGCAGTGCTGGCGTGGTCAACACACAGCTCACCATCCTCCTGTCCCCTTCCCTTCTCCCTCTCTCACCTCCCCCTCCACCAGCTTGCCCTCTACACCATGGTCAACTGAGGCATCACCGTGCGGGAGAACGTGCGCTCCTTGACTGTTGATGCTACTCAAAGTGTCACTCACCCCCCACCTCCCCCTTTTTGCGCCTCCCCCTCCCCCCACACCACCTCTTCCCCCCAGCTCGCCCTCTACACCATGTTCAACTGGGGCAACACCGTGCGCGAGAACGTGCGCTCTTTAACAGGACGAACGGCGCCGCCCGCCTTCCTGCAGAAGCTGACGTACCTGTGCTGGAACCACCACCGGGCGATCCTGGCCATTGACACCGTGCGGGCGTACACGTTCGGAGCTTCATATTTCACTGAAGTGGATGTCGTGTTGCCTGAAGACATGCCGCTTAAGGTACGCCACTGAAACTAGTTAGACGGCTTTTCAAGGTAATGCTGCAGAATAATTAAGACTCTTATTTTCCCTGACGTACTTACTGCGATTTATACCCCAAATGATGATACTGTATGGATGGCACATCTCCTGTCGTTTTTTGTCTGTTTGTCCGATTTTCTTTTTCTATGCCACATTTTGATTTGACTTCCATTGTCCTGTTTTCAGGAGGCACATGATATTGGCGAGGCGCTTCAGAACAAGCTGGAGAGGCTGCCCGAGATAGAGAGAGCGTTTGTTCACTTGGATTACGAGGTGTCGCATCGGCCTGAGCACCACCACCATCTCTCCACGTTTGATGTTGGGAATGGAGTGTCTCCCAGTAGCTTTCCTAATGACCCAAGGTCTCCATGACCGGGCCAGTTAGTCTTCACCCCTCTATAATTTGTTGCAACAAGCGGCAAAGCCGCACTCATATTCAGACATGTCTTGCTCGGTTTGTGCATTTTCCTGTAAATGTATTATTGATTAAAATATGGAGCAGAATCTAACAGTATAATGGTTAGCAAATTTAGACGTACACGTAATCTTCACTATCCAAACGGGTTGGCGTAGCGGAGATATGCGTTCGGCAACTTCAAGATCTCCCCCTTCCTCGCCTTCAGCCCTTCGTCCCCACCCCCTTCTTCCCCCTCTCGAAGCAAGCCAATTCGAGACTATTCAATCCAGCCCAGGCATTTTACCTGAGATCCTCGTGAATTGTTACTGGTCCGAATCAGTCGCCATGGCGTCCCTAGACCCGTTTTTCCACCTGACCAGCCTTCCCTACGCCGTTCTTCGCCCGCCGAAGCTCCGCCTAAGGCTCCCAACTTTCTCCTTCCCGGATCCTATGGTCGTCTACTGCTTCGTAATCTTCAGCTATTTCCTCGTCGTTTCCGGGATCGTCTTCGACATGATTGTCGAGCCTCCCGGCATCGGCGGCCATCAGGATGAAGCGACGGGAAAATTCGTTCCCGAGGTTATTATGGCGGGAAGACTTAACCAGCAGTACATTATTGAAGGCCTCTCGTCGGGATTTATGCTCGTGCTTGGAGGCCTTGGGATTGTCCTGATCGACTGGGCTTGCGACAAGCTGCAAACGAAGAACATGCGGCTGGTGTATCTGGGAACTGGGCTGTCCATGGTGGTTATTAGCTACACGATGAGTATGGTGTTCCTGCGGATCAAGATGCCTGGCTACCTCCACTAGGTCTTGCATCCTGTTTAGGATGGATTTGGGTTACTACGTCTGCTCCTAGTGGTGGCTGAAGCAGCACAAAGTGGGTTTTCGTTATTTCGGCTTTTGCACTTATCTTGCTTTCTGAGTCGCCACTGATCATTGTGCACATTGCAGGAAGATTGCAATTATAATAGCGGAGCATTTTCTTATACGGTACCAAATAATCAAGCAGGTTTACTTCAGCCATCATACGGTAGAATGGAAGAGCATAATGCCAACTGAGCTGATTTGGTGCGTGTACATGGGGATGAGAAGAACCATCAGTATTGACATTATACAAGGAGCCAGCCAGCCTAAATACATGAACATCATTCATTGTCAGGATGCATAGGATAGCATACATTTACTGACACCAACCTTCCCCAAGTTGCAGCATGGAGAAAGCACTAGTTGCTCATTCACCATAGTAGTCAAAATTCAAGATGCAGTGAGCCAATCATTGAGGTCAGGAAGTCGGCGATCCGACTTAGCATCCCTGCCTCCTGCACTGTGCGGCGCCACGTGGAATCCATTCACTGCGCGCTCAGCAGCATGCTCCGATACAGTAGCCTCTGGTGGTTGTGACCTCAGTCCGACCCCCTGGCCCGCTGCTGCATTACCACCACCTCCATAAAAACCGTTTCCACCAGCGAACGCACTCCCTTTGTTAGGACCAAGTGCATTACCTTCGCCAGTCATGCCCCCCCCATGACGCATGTTACCTCCGCCAGGGAAATTAACCCCACTGCAAGGAGTGCTTGCTCCGAGAGGAGTGTTCCCTCCGCTCTCTGTTTCTGAGAGCTCACAAGCTGGCATTTCCAAGTCCAGCAGTACTCTCCGCTTCGGTGCCACGCTGGCACATGATGCTGCATTGGCCATTGCTGAGTTGGCGAGAGGTAGCGCAGGGTTGGTATGTGATGAGTTCGGCCACGTTGGGTTGTTTGACGACTTCACAGCATTTTGTGCTGCTTCCATCATCCCGTTCCTGTGACCAGGTGTTGGATGCCAGGTGCCAATGGTGCCATTGGTAGCAGTGGGAGCAGCTGCTGGGGCTTCAGAAGCACCATTCTGAGAGGTCCTCTCTGCTGCCGGGCCGACCACCTCCTTCCGCCCATTCGCCTCGCAATGCCTTCTCAACACGCTCAGCACAGTACCATTCAACCTGCCTGGGATATGCAGGCCCTGACCCAAACCACTGGCCGCCTTTCCCTTAGACGCGTCCACTGCTGATCCAAGGATCTGGGGGATACCATTAGCCTCCCGCTTCCTCTTTTCAGCCTCAAGCACCACATGACCCAGTTGCTGCATCCCACCCAAAGCTTGGCTGGATCTATGCACCTCTTGCAGTTGCTGCTGCTGCTGCTGACGCTGCTGTTGCTGCTGTTGCTGTTGCTGTTGCTGCTGCTGGAAGAGCTGCCGGCCTTGCCACGGTTGCTGCGGTTGCTGCTGCTGCCAGTGATGCGGGAGCTGCTGCTGCTGCAGGCTGTTGGGCCCTGAGCTGAAAGGAGGCACGGCGGCAGCAGCAGCGGGCAGCGTGGCACCATTCGACGGGAGTGTGACGGGCCGTGGAAGCTTAAACACCTCCCATGAGAATCCAGACGCAGCGACGTTGTGTGCAAAGGACTGGTAGTCCTTGCTCTGAGATGCAGCCTTCGCCCCACCTGATTCGCCCCTGACTGCCGCTACTGCTCCTTGCTGCTCTGGTGGAGGACCCAAGGCAGCAGCAGCAGCACCGTCATCGTTTCTGAGATTCTCAGCACCACCCGTGGCTGCTTCAGCAGGCGTTGCACCCAAGGAGGGAGCGTCTGCTTCATCATCGCACATTTCATTCAGATCCATAAGTGCTGCCTTGGGAACAGCAGCAGCCGAGGCTGCGGCTGCAGCAGCAGCTGGAGAAGCAGCAGGGGAAGCAGCAGGAGAAGATACAGCTGCAGGAGCGGCAGCAGGAGAAGCACCCAAGGGATTAAGAGGCTCAGAGTGAGCCGCTGGCTGAAGCTTCTGCTGCTCCTGTTTGCTCCGCAAAAGAGCTTCTCGCTCATGCCTCTTCTGCTCTATCCGCACCTTCCTCGCCTCACGCTTCTCTGCCCTTTCTCTCCTCTCCTGCTCCTTCTTCGCCCGCCGTTCCACCCTCTCCTGCTTCCGAACCCGCTTCGCTTCCTTCCTTGCGACCCTCTCAGCCTTCCGCCGCTCCCTCTCCTCCTTCTCCTGCTTCTTCCTCTCCCTCTCCTGCCTCTTCTTCTCAACCTTCTGCCGTTCCTCCTCCGCCCGCGCTTGCCATTTCAGAGCCACCTGCAGATTCACCCTCACAGCCTCTCTCACCGCCTCACCCACTCCCACCACCTCACCAACACCAGACCCACACCCCTCTCCCATCTCACCCCGTCCCTCCATCACCCCCCCATCCTCCCCCACCACCTCCCCTCTCTCCACACCTCCCTGTACTCCTCTAAACACCTCACTCGCCCGTTGAAACGCGTCCACAGCGTCGTTCCAGCGGCCAGCGGCGGCAGAGAGCAGGGCGAAGCTGCAGAGGGAGGGGCCGTGCATGGGGGCGAGGAGGAGGGCGTTGTGTGCAGCTGAGAGGGCAGCAGAGAGACGGCCCTGGGCGCGCAGAAGGAGAGAAAGGTTGGACCAGGTCACATGGGATGCAGACGCAGGAGGAGAAGGAGGTAGAGGAGGAGGAGAAGAGGAAGGAGAAGAAGATGGGTCGGTGGAAGGGCGAGGAGGCAGCGACGATGGGCAGTGCAGCGCGCGGGTATACGCTGCTTCGGATTCGTCAAGACGACCAGAAAGCTGTAGGCAGAGGCCTGCACACAAAACAGGTGAAGTGGCAATCCAGACACAACGCCACACAGATAGTTCAACATAGAAACTATCGAGAGGTGCATGGTGCTCGAGTCAATGTGATGGGACTCCGTAACTCCGTAGGATGGATAGGTGCATGGTGCCAGCCAAGATGTTAGATGCAGCGGGTGAACGAGTAAAGCAGAGCTGAGGCGTTTGGACCTCTAGTTTGAGACATCTCCACTTTGAACGGAGGGCTATGAATGTGGCACAAAGCTGGGCACAGCTGGTGTTGCAAGTCCGGCTCACCTAGGGAACTCCACGTGGCTGCCGATTGCTGGTGGCGTGAGAGAGCTCTGAGGAAGTGCGAGTGAGCTGCTGCAAAGTACCGCGTAGAAGACAGCTCAACTGCACCATTAACATCTCTGACGTCCGCAACAGCACCCCCCATTGTGGTGCCATCTTCCATGTTAGAAGCAAGTGAGTGAATGGCAGAGTGCAGTGCATGCACGCCCAGCTGATGGGCTCCGGTTCCCGCCCCTGCTGCTGCCATCAGAGACTGAATGCAGCAAGCGGGAGAGAGGAGAGGGAAGAGGGAGAAAGGAAGAGGGTGTAGGTAAGGGGCGAGGTTAGCTTAGCAAGACAGAACCATGGGCAGAGGACGGACGAGAAAATGGGATGAGGAAGCGATGAGAGGAGAATGTGACGTGGAAACTTAGGCCCTTCAGCTACAGCAACCCAAGCTCTCATGCACCTTCTGGGCATTATGTCACCAGCCAACTCTGCAGCCCCATTCCACAGCCCCTCTCTGCACTGCAGCCACTCTCTTTCTCACCTGCTTCTTCCACGCTGCCAGCTTCAGCTCCTCTGCCTGCACCACCGCACATGCCAGCTCCTCGTTCACCACCTCCCCACTCCCACCACCATCCCCGCTCCCAAAACCCTCCTCCTCCTCCTCTTCTTTGCACCTCTTCTCCTCGTCCTCCTCTCCATCCCCATCCTCTCCCCGTGATGCTGCACCAACCAGCAGCGCCATTAACCGATTTCCTTCCCCCCCCCTCTCCATCTCCTCCTCACCCCCCAACCCCTCCTGTGCGCTCCCTCCATCAGAACACCCTGTTACAGTCAACCGCGCCTCCTCTTCCACCACAAACGCCCCCGTTTTAGTCACAATCTCCTGGAGCGTTCGCCGTTCAAGGGCTGCGTGTGCATGCGCCACAGCGTCCCATGCCATCCACTCGGGCACATGGCCCAGCACGCACTTGCGATTCCCACCATGACCACCACCACCAGCACCAGCACCAGCACCAGCACCAGCACCAGCACCAAAAGCCGAATTCTGAGGCGCCTCAAAAGGCGCCACAGCGTCCCATGCCATCCACTCGGGCACATGGCCCAGGATGCACTTGCGACCACGGCCACCACAGGCACCACCAGCACCAGCAGCACCAGCAGCAGCAGCAGCAGCAGCAGCACCAGCAGCAGCACGTGTTTCAAACACGATCGTAGAACCACCACCATTTGACCTATAAGCCAGTTCCGGAAGCCCCAGCGCATCTGCCATCTCTGCAACGCCGCAGCGGATGTGCTGGGAGGCGAGGGCCAGAGGCAGAGGGGCAGCGGCAGCAGTGGCGATGCGGTGGGCTGCTGCTGCGAAGCGCAGAGGTGCACTGGACGGCTGCAGCTTCAGAGCCTGCATAGAATTGAACCAACGGGCCAGGCTTAGCATCAAAACAGCAAGACCGCAGGGGTTGGCCGGCCCTCCATTTGCGGAGAAAACAAGATGCTGACGAAAGAAAGAAAGAAAGAAAGAAAGGAAGGGAAGAAGTTATGCTGACGGGTACCTGGGACATGCATTTTGCGGCCTGCTTCCAGCTGCCTGTGCGGGTGGCGGCATGGGCAAGGTTGCACCAGAGGAAGGCACAACTCGGCAGCAGCTGCACTGCTGCTGACGCACACTGCTGTGCTGACACCCCTGCAGTGTCCAATGCAGTTGTCGTTATCGCCACACTCTTTTCGCCTCCTGCTGTGATAGCGTCTGTTCCTGCTGTGCCTGTTGCAGCTGGCACCAACTCGGTTTCTTCTGTCGTCGCCCTTTCTGCAGCATCATTGACAGCCAAGGCAGATGCTGTCTTCGTCCCACCAACCACAGCATCAACAGCCAAAGGTCGCTCCTTGTCTTCGTCTTGCTGCTGCTGCGATTTCTCCTGCTGCTGCGGCTTCTGCATGTGGTCAACTCTCCTGTCAACTCTCCTGCCATGGCTACGTTGTGTGGCAAGCAGCAGGGCGGAGTAGGAGCAGAGAGCAGCCGGGTGCTGCGGCTCCCTCTGCAGCACTGCCTGCAGGCATGCCGCAGCCTCATCGTACCTTCCCCTGAAACAAGGAAGAACAAGGAAGCAGGCAGGGGAGCATGTGAGAAGAGGACAGGACAGGAACGGCTCAGATGCTACACACATGCACCACACAAAGACACATACAGTCTGCAGATACAGCAGGACAGCAAGACGGCACACCAAGACACATACACAAGCAGCAGAAGGGCACAACACAACGGCACAAGAAGACACGTACACATGCAGCAGGGCGGCTCCCAGATTGGCAAGAGTGTCGGTGCTGACGGGAGCGGTAGGGCTTGCTGTGCTGACCGTGCAGCAACACCGACTTTTTTAGAATTCTCAAAAGAAGACACTTACACATGCAGCAGGGCGGCTCCCAGATTGGCGAGAGTGTCGGTGTCAACGGGAGCGGTAGGGTTCGCGGTGCTGGCACTGCTGCTAGCAGCATCACCGCTTGTGCCAGTTTCAACGCTTGCCAGCTGTTGTGACAGAACTTCCAGGGCTTTCTGCAATGCATAAGCCAGAGGGTCATGGAGAGAGAAAGGGCTTTGAGACGTCTCAAATGCTGCCAGCAACATCACTGACCGTACTTCAAGGGCTTTCTGCAACGGATGGATGGATCAGCTGATGAGATGGTAATTAATAGGACTCAGCTGGGACAGAAAGAGAGGGAGCAGAAGGTTACGGATCAAACAGCGTCAATATACACACTGCACAGCACACGCACCTCTGTTCGCCCGTACAGCAGGAGCATGACAGCAAGATGATTGGTGGTAGCCAGACCCCCTCCTTCCTTCGCCTTCTTCAGAGCTTCACTCGCGCTTAGAACCCCACTGCCCTCAAGGTCGTCAGCGGGAAGCACAGCACCCTCTCCTCCTGCAGGGGATCCCCCCACTTGCTGTTCCTCCATGTGGTTACCAGCAGTACCAGCACCAGCACTGCCAGCGTCACCAGCACCAGAGAAAGCACCACTGCAGTTGCTCCCGTCAATTGCAGCACTGGCGCCACCAGAAGGAGATGCAGCAGCAGCAGAATTAGGAGCGCCAGCACCAGTAGCAGCACACAATGATTGCTCTGCAACGCCCTTTGCTTCTGTAGCAGCGGCATTGAGAGCATCAACAGTAGCACCCGGATCACCAGCAGCGTCAGCATCAGCATCAGCAGCGGCAGCACCAGTAGCAGCAGCAAAGCGATCGTTTGCAACTGCTAGCGTCAAATGGCGAATCACATTGCGAATCACCACGTCTTCCTCTTGCTCCTTCTCTTCCTCCTCATCCCCTTCCGCCTCCTCCTCCTCCTCAAGAGCCTCACTCCTTTCCTCGTCCACCCCTGTCACCATTTCTTCCATCGCATTCCCCTCTGGCACACACGCTTCCGCCCACCCACCCACACCTGTATCCTCACATGGACCATCAGACACAACTCCACCGCACCCCACCTTCATCTGCACCCCTCCACCCATCTGCACACCAACACCTTCCCCATCCCCCTCCCCCTCCATCTCTACCCACCGTTCCTCTTGTTTGGGCCAAACGCTCCGCCTCCGCTTCCTCTCCCCCTCCCCCTCCCCTGCACCCTGCCCCTCCCCATCCTGCTTCAGCTTCCGTTCACCCTCGCCCTCCCCCTCACCCTCAACCTTACGCCCCACCTCCTGTTCCGCACTCTCATCAGCCAATTTGCATGCCGCCTCCTCCTGCCTCAGCCTCTCTTCCCTCCTCAGTTCTAGATCAGCAACAGCAGCAAACATGTCCAGAGCACTGCACACCCGCTTCGCCTCCCTCCCCTCCACTTCCTCCTCCGCCAACCCAGCCAGTCCAAATAACCCATCCAACACATCCGTACCGCCCTCTACCTCTCCCTCCCCCTCAAACTTCCTCTTCCCACTGGTACTACCACCCCCCGGGTCCATGTCAGGCAGGCTCCGTTCCTCTCCATGCTTTTCCAAATGGCAACTCATCCCCGTACCTTCCTTCTCTCTCGCTCGCTTTCCCCGTTTCTCCCCTTTTTTCTGCGCTTGCTGCTCCATCTTCACTCCCCGCCTCGGCCCCTTGAGCTGCACTTTTGCCTGTACCTTTCCCTGAACTTTTCCATGCGCGTTCACCTGATCTTTACCCTGTGCTTTGCCCTGCGCCTTGGAGCTGCCTTGCTTGTGCCCTGTGACAGTGGCGCCACCAGCCACGTCAGCGTCGTTTGCGTGTGCTCCATGCTGCTGCTGCTGGTGATTCTGCTGATGTTGTTTCTGCTGCTTATGCGGATGCTGCTGCTGCTGCTGCGAAATATTGAGATGCTGGTGATGGTGATGTTGATGATGGTGGTGGTCGGTGTCAGCAGCAGCAGGAGCAGCGAGCATAGCCAGTTCTAAATGACACTGCAGCGGGGAAGCGGAGCAGGCATGGGGGGGCAGGAGACGGGAGGAGATGAGGGGGTGATGAACAATGACGAAGCGGTGGAGCAGAGAGGGCGTACTTGAGAAATTTCTAGAAAGAAACGGTGCCAGGTGCCACAGGCGGCACGTGGCGCAACGCATGCAAACAGAAACCAACCAACGGATCTGCGCCATGTGGCGGTGCGCAGCGGAGTGCAGGTCCCTCCTGGGCTGAGACATTCTCTCCTCCGGGAGTGATTTGAGTGACTCATAATACCTGGGCAATCGACCAACGAACCTGCGCCATGTGGCGGTGCGCAGTGGAGTGCAGGTCCCGCCTGGGCTGAGACATTCTCTCCTCTGGCAGAGCTGCCACTGCTGCCGCTGCCGCTTCAAATGCGCTCAATGCCTGGCCAGGAGGGAAAGGAAGATTGGCATAAGAATGTAGGGAGAATGAGGGGAAATGCAGAGGGATGGGCTGAGACATCCTCTCATCTGGCAGCGCTGCTACTGCTGCCGCTGCGGCCTCAAACGCGCTCAACGCCTGGTCGAGAAAGTGATGAAGTACAGGGAATTTGTCAAAGAAAAAAAGGGAGGATGAGGAAAAATGCAGACACACGCACACGCACATATGGGATACGACATCCGACTCCTCCACCAGGGCTCAACGTTTGGAAGAAGAGAAAATTCAAAACACAAATACATTCGTTTTCCCCAAGATCCACTTCCTTAGTGACGGAATAGCAAGCACTTGCAACGCTCAACGCATCTCACGGATGGATGCTACACGTGACAGAAATTCGCCTTTGAAAAAGCGCGCATTTCTTGAGAGATATTGGTGCTCGCGGAACCTTCCGCGCGCATCCTGGCGGACAGCAGGCGGAGCTTGCACGCACGCATGCGTTTGCAAAACGCGGAAACGCGCGCGTAGGAATTGCGGGAATAGCTGTCCGCCAGAGCGCCGCGGGAGTAACTCAGCGGAAACTTTGCGCCAGAGCCTCGCGACATTACCAATCTTCCGTGCATACTCCGTGGACGCGTGCGCGCGGGCGTACCTTGGCGGGTTGATGCTCGCGGAGAAAGTGCAGCGCGAGGAAGAAATGCACCTCGGGGCTCTTGGGCTGGCGTTTCGCCATGTTCAGTAGCGCCTGCGATGCGACGGGACAAGTGTGGGAAGGAATATGCAGTTAAGAATCAAACACGCAGTTGTAAGTATTCAAGACGAGCTGCAGCTTTGAACTGCCGCTTCGTCATGTTTCTAAACGCCTGCGATGCGACCGGACAGGAATAGGCAGGTCAAGTAGTAAGTGGTCTGAACTGGGCTGCCGCTTCGCCATGGTCAGTGGCGCCTGCGATGGGACAAAGTGCAAGACGCGGGAGCAAGAAAAAGGCAAGCAGCGAACTCAGCGGCTGGATCTGACGGTTTCGGCAACATTTTACGCGCATCTGTCAGTCGACTTAGCCAGTCATCTTCATTTTCGGAGGTCCGTCAAGCTAACGAGCGTCGTGGCATATACCTCTTTCGTGCGCGGATCTAAAAGGCAATCCTACTGCCTCGTACGCGGGACCAGCAGCGATTGTGCCAGAGATCCAACGACTGACTACGCGAAATAATATGCGATTCTAGACGTGACCACGGCGCCGTGACGATGGTGCTACTAGTGCGTTGGAGAAGTCTTAAAACATACCGGAAGCATGACAGCGTCAATGACGGCGACCATTACCGTAGTCCTAGTGCGAACCGCCACGTCGCGGTCTAGAGACGGGGGGGAGACGACTGCCGAACCTATTGCGTCGCACGGTCTAATAGTGCGCTGATGTAGCCTGCTTCTGTCTCTATCGGTCGTCAAGCACGCGAGGATGACGCTGCTGATGTAACGGCAGTGACATTTGAGTCGACTCAGAAAGGCATGGTCTACTAGTGCGCGGATTCAGCCTACTTCTGACTATCGGTCGCCAAGCTGGCGAGGATGACGCTGTTTACGCAACGGCAGTGCCGCCACCGTTACACACGACGGGAGGACATTGACCCTTTTCTCGGATCCTAAATCGGAGAGAATTCGGGAAGGCCGAGAGCCGACGGAGGGAAGAATCAATGGCATCAAGGCTGCGGGTGATGATTGGCAGTCGAAGCGACGTACTGCTTTCAAGATCTTGGATCGGTCTTGAGCCGATTGGCAGGGTGGCGACGACGACGACGGTGCCTGCTTCGCGGCTTGCTCCTTCGTCGCCTGCTCCTTTGTCGCAGGCTGCTTTGTCGCCTGCTGCTTTGCCGCCTGCTGCTTCGTCGCCGGCTGCTTCGTCGCCTGCTGCTTCGTCGCCGGCTGCTTTGTGGCCTGCTGCTTCGTCGCCTGCTGCTTCGTCGCCGGCTGCTTTGTGGCCTGCTGCTTCGTCGCCTGCTGTTTTGTCGCCGGCTGTTTCGTCGCCGGCTGTTTCGTCGCCGGCTGCTTCGTCGCCGGCTGTTTTGTCGCCGGATCCTTCGTCGCCTTTGAACAGCGCGCGGCTTGAGCCGTCGCCTCCTCGGGCGATTCTTCAAGAGGCCGTTTGCCCTGCGCTTTAGTAAAAGACGCCTTCCCTTTGGCACTCGTGGCTGCCGCCGATGGCTCGCCGTTTCCCCTCGAAACCGTCGCCTTCTGTGTCGTCATCGTCGTCGCCGTCGCCGTCGTCGTCGGCTCCTTCACGTGCTTCTTGCCGCTCGCCGATGCGCCATTGGCCGTTGCTGAGGGCCGTTCCCGCTTCCCGGTGCGGACGCGCTTCGTCTCTCCCCCGCCGCCCGCCGGTATTTCCAGTGTCTTCGCAACGATCACCGGGTTTTTAGCTGGTGGAACGCCAGGCGCCAACGCGACGGGCAGCGGTGGCCGATTCTTTGATGCGGCGGCGCGATTGGCTCGTGGTCGTCCAGGAGATTTTGTCGCAATAGTCGCCGGCTTGTCCGATTTGCTCGCTCGAGAAGATTCGACGCGAATCGTCGCCATTTTAGCAAGACGATGGTGGTGGGATGAGGTAAGAATTGGATGAACTACTGCGTCTGAAGCCTAAGAAATGGGAGAAGCAGTAAAATGCAAAAAGGAGCCAACTAAGGAGTCAAACGGATTTGATGGTGATTAAGGATCTAGTGGTTTACGTCCGGGAAAAACAATATTGAGGAACGAGGGGCTCATGGTACATGAGGTTCGAAGGATTAAACGCGATGCGGGGGGACAAATTACTGAACCACGCGCCGGTGAGGCGTCCATAAAACTAAACTCCTCGCAGTACCGGTACCGGTACCGGCGGTTCTAGCTAGCATGGCAGACATATTTTTTTATTTTACTGCCATGACATGGCAGTGTGGGATGCTTGGAGAAGTAAGCAGGGCTGGTAAGTTTAAGAATTGCTGATTGTTCTGTGAGCTATGTAATTCTTGTGGTGGTTATGACTGGTTGTTCGTGATGTACTGTTAGTACTGGGCACTTCAATCTGAGCTTGCCCTTTTCCCTCCCTGAAAGCCTGTTATGAATCAGCAGATGAAGGACGCAAGCCAGAGAGTTTCCGCTCTCCTTGCCTCTGCTCGGCTGGGTTCAGTATGGCTCGTCTCTACTCCTCGGCCCTGCTGTCTGCTGCTCTCCCCTCCTTTCCCCACCCCGCCTCGCTTCGTTTCGCCTCGCCCCTCATCAGCAATCTGCTTCGCTCAATCCGCCTCGTTCAACCCCTCGACCAGTTTTCGTCGTCCCCTTCGGACCATCTCTCCCGCCACATACATCCATGCGCCCGCTCCCCCATCCCTTCCCCCACCCAATTGTATATCTTTGGTTGGGTGGTCTGGTGGGGCTTGCCCATTCGCTCTGCTTGTTGCTTCCACTGGCTGCCCAGTTCTACTCATCGATGTTGGATTTGTGTTTGCATTCCAGTACTGTACGGTACTGTACAACACCCGCCTTCAGGTTGGGGGGAAGAAGTTCCGCGCTAGTCCATGCTGCTGCTGGTGCTGCTCTGCGCGTTTGCCTGTTTCGACACTCGACTGTTTTGTGTGCTGTGCTGTCGCACCTTGAAGTTCTCGAGGTTCTCTTGCCCCGATGGGGTGTTTGTGTTGTCGCCCCGCCCAGCCATTCCCCCTGGTCCCTGGTAACCATGGCGTCACGGCCGTCCCCTACTGAGCTCAGCTCTCCACGACCACCCAACCTCGCGTCGCGGTTTCGTTTTCGCACTTGCGACGACCACTGGCGCGGAAAAGGAGGAATCGAGGGCTCGCTCCCTCGCGTGCTGAGCTTTGGATGGTCAGGGGAGTTGTGTCACTGTACACGCCGGGGAAACCCTTTCATGGCATCCGCCCTCCACCGCCTCGTGCAGTTTGCCCCACATCAGCAGACTTTGGACGGTAGTGCATTGCTGCTGGATGCGAAAAAAAACAAACGTCTCATCCTTCGCGCCTCGGGGACTTCATGATCTGGATCCTGCCTGCTGGTGAAAAGGGTTGAGGGAAAGGAGCTGCGGAGGGTTTAGGGGGGAAGCGGTAATAATAAGGGGGAAACAAAAACCATCGGGGTGGTCGTCTTGTGTGGAAAGCGGAACATTCGCGGTGGGGAAGCAACGCGCGGAGTCGCCGCAAAGCCATTTTGAGTGCATCGACTTGTCTGAATGCGCATCGTCCACTGTCGTTGTCACCACCATGTCAAAAGCCGCCTGGATTCCCCATACCGTTGTTCTACAGTACCATGCGACGACTTTACGGCCGTTCGATAATTTCTTGTAAGTTCAGATGTTCTGGATGGAGATGGGTTCAAGATTCGAAGTGTGGGGCAACTCCAACGGAACAGCAAGTGATACACTTGATGTCGAAACGATAAATTGATGTGACATGCAATCCGAAGGGATAAAACTCAGCACAATTTGGAAACATGTGACTGGTGTCCCAACGTACAAGTTTCAGCATGACGACCCCTCCTGTTCTAGGATGACAGTCTAGCCCACCAGCCAATTTTTGCACCAGAGCTGCTGGTTGAGCAATTTTTTTTCAGGCACGGGCGGATCACTGTAGTGGCATGAATGAGCGGGTGGAGTGAAGTTCTGCTTCTGACGCGCTCCGTGTGCAAACATGCACAGCGTGCGTGCTCCAGCAGGCTTTACTGTAGCCTGGGAGGTCCAGTCACAGTCGAGTCGAGAAGCTCACAGCCTTCATCAGCCAGCTTTACGGGAGGCAAAGCGACCCTCGTGAGTGCCAGGTGCCAGAAATCACCAATGTATCGTTGCCACGTGTGGTAGTTCAATTCTTAGGATTCACAAGAACTACAGTTCCTGAACTCGTTACAAAATCAATCCCAATCGTCGTTGAAGCCTTTTTTGAAACTGCAAAGATTCTCAACTACACACCTAGGTTTCATATCCACATTCTTTCTTGTGACCACCCCACCCTTCGTCCAGTTAGGGCGGGTCCAGTGCGTTCGTCCTTCGTTTGTTCTGTGCGGTTACTCTTGTTGTGTGGCGGTGCAAAACGATGAAGATTGATACCGCTGTGTACTGAAAAACGAACGCGCTGAACCCGCCCTTCGTGGGTTTTGAAGCTCATCCGTGTCCTGTTTGTTGCACGCAGTTCAGGTGGGTGAGGGCGTGAAACTTAGAAAATATCGTACAGTATTTCAGGGAGGTCTGGACTTTCAGGGTGGTTGTAAATGGTAGTAACTGTGTTTCAGTAAGATATCGTACGGTGCTGAGCGTAGACCCTCCCACCCACACTGATTGCGGAACGACCAGATAGATGTTTCACGCCTAACACGGTTGTCTCAAGTACCGCTTTAAAACGCAACGAAACCGTGTTACATCGTTCTCATCGGGTTGTTGCATGCTCATCCTGCGCTGCGATGGCACCCTTCTCCAGGCGATGAGTTCAAGTCTTACCTTACCTCCTGATCGCTGTATGAACCAATCCTATTTGTGTTCATTTATTCTGAAATTGGTCATCGAGTGCAAATTAATTTCTAACTCTATAAACTCTCAGTCATCGGAAAAACAGTGTCGTTAGAGTCACATGTTCGCTCATGTGACCCGAAATTCCGGCCTCCGTGGAAATGTCAGCAGATGGCGCTCCAATGCGCCGACGAAGAGCCGCGGCTCGACGACGCGATCCGAGCATAAGAGGGACTGCAGCCGGCATCTGGTTCTCATCTTAGCCGTTACCAACCTCGCATTGCTCTTCCTCCACCCACTATTAACATTTAGGTCACCGATTTCCGGTAGCGACGACGACGATCAGGATCCATTCTCGAGAGCCGCTGCTGACGTGGCATGGCGGCGGAAAAGAGGGGGACTTTGGAGCGCGGCCAAGCAAAGATGGCGCGGTGCGGACGGCATTCAGGCCGAGGTACGACCGGGATGAGGTACGATCGGGATGAGGTACGACCGGAATGAGGTACGACCTAGGTAGGAATTGGCAGCGGAGTGGTGCACTGCTTCTAGAGGGTTGATACTTCATACCCACCCACCAACCTAACCCCTTTTCCTCCACCTCCTAACATGTTGCCTTATTCTTACACGTTTCAAAATCCAGTTCCCCCCTTTCTCTCCCCAACCCCTCTCTCTTGTCCGTCCAATACTATCCCGCACTTGGTACGCCCTTGTTCTCATCATTCCCATATTTTATAGTCTTCTGATGATTTTCCTTTGCCCTCCCTCTCCCATCTTCTGTTCACCTCGCCCTTCACTCCATTCCTTATCTCTTCTTCCCATTCCTCCTATCTCCGCTCCCCTTCTCCCTGCTTCCCCTATTCCCGATCAACATATCTCCACTCCACTCCCCTATCACCACTCCAACCACCCCACTCCCTCCCTCCACACTCCCACCCACTGCCCATTTCATCCACCACAACCGTAACCAGACCATCGGAAAGCTCTTAAACGAGGACGCGGAGCGGTTCTCCTTGCCAATCAAGCGGCGCCACGTCAGCACAGGGCACGGGCTGCAGGGATTCGTTCTGTACAGCAGCTACCGCCTGAACATGTCGTCCTTTGTGGTGCTCGGGCTCTCCCCCATGGCGCTGCACTCGCTGCCACGTGTCAACTCGTGCAGGTGACGTGGCGTGATGGGGAGATGACGTGGCAGAGGCATCGCTGACGGTGCTTGTTTGGGGAAGCAGGGGTTATAAAGGAAGGGGGAGTGAGACGCAGGGGGGGGAGGGGGACACCACTATTTGTTTTCCCCCAAAGCCTCCTGCATCCGCTTTTTCCTGTGATATTTTTTCCCTTGTCCCCCATCCACCTCTCCACCCACCTCTCCACCTCGCCTCTCCACTCCACCTCGCCTCTCCACTCCACCTCTCTCCACCCCACCTCTCTCCACTCCACTCCACCTCTCTCCACTCAACCACTCTCCACTCCACCACTCCACTCTCCACTCCACCACTCTCCACTCCACCACTCTCCACTTCACCTCTCTCTACTCCACCTCCCTCTACTCACCTCTCTCCACCCCACCTCACGTCTCTATTCGCTCTCTACTCACCTCTCCTTCTCCCCTCCTCTCCTTGCACTCCCACCCGAATCGCGTTCGCCCGTTCCCCGCGTTTAGGCAGATGGGAGCCGACGACGCCAGCATCCCATGCTGATGAGCCACGTGGCAGTGATGGTACACGTGGCACAGCCACGTCAGCACGTGCAGGATTCTCAAGACACTTGTTAGAAGTTAAGGGAGGTGGCAACGTGGGGCCACGGGGGAGAAGGGATGAGGGAGGTAAAGGGGCGGTGCGAGGCAAAGGGGATGGGGGAAGTAAAGGGGTGGTACAGGGTAGGGGGGCAGGAAGGGGTAAAGGAGGGGATGGACGGGGAAACGGGGCGGGTGATGGGGGAAGGGTAAGGCAGGGGGGAAAGATTGGGGTAAAGTGGGCGCATGTGGTTCACAAGGGGAAGAGTGGGGCTGAGAGTGTGGAGGGGAGAAGAGAGAGTGAGAAGAGGGGCGAGGTGGGGAAGGGGGAGAAGGACGTGGTAAAAAGTGGTGCAGTGGGGTTGAAGGAGCAGCAGCAGCAGGCACTGCGGCAGCCAGGCAAGGAGGTTGGAGGGGGAAGGGAAGGAGGGAAGGGAGGCGTAAAGGGAGGAGAGAAGGGAGGAGGGAAAGGAGAAGACAAGGGAGGAGGGAAGGGAGGGGCGGAGGGTGGAGAGAAGGGGAAGGAGAAGGGCGGAGAGAAAGGAGAGAAGGGAGGAGGGGAGAGGAAGGAGGAGCAGAAGACAAGTGCACGAGTGAAAGAGAGGAATGGTGCTGTTCCTTCCAAGGCCGGTGTTTCTTCTAAGGGTGGTGTTTCTGCAAAGGGAACAACAGGCACAGCAGGTGGGGGAGTGGTAGTTCGGGCAGATGGAGGGAGTACGAACGTGCAAAAGGATAACAGAAAACAGCCTCAGGAGCTTCTGAAAGCAGTTGCAACAGCTGCAGCCTCAGCAACAGCAGCAGCAGCAGAAGCTGCAGCAGTAGCAACAATAGCCAAAGCAACTAATGCAGCAGCCGGTGCACAAACAGGAGCAGGAAAAACAGCAGGAAAAGGAGGAGGAGGAGCAGCAGCAGCAACAGCAAATGGGACAGCAGCAGGGGCACAAGGGAAAGCAGAAGGCACAACAGCAGCAGGAGCAACAGGGACAGGAGCAGCGGATGGCAGCAAAGGAAAAGGAGGAGGAGGAGGGTCAAAGACCAAACACCCACCAGGGTCAATCCAGGGCACAGTGACCGCACACTACCCGGGGGAGGGCTTTAAGATGCGGTACGAGGCGGTGATCCTGCAGTGCTCCCTGCAGGCGCCCACGGGGCCGATATCAGGGGGGCGGCTGGTGATGGTGGTGGATGGGCGCGAAGCAGTGGTGGTGCAGGAGGAGCAAGGGCATGACCTGCCACACGCCATGCGCACACACGATTTCCCGTGAGTCTACTCGTCACTCTCGTTCATTCACGGGGTTGATTTCGGGGTTTTGAGGCGCCTCAAAACCCTGCAGGCGCCCACAGGGCCGATATCGGGCGGGGAAGCTGGTGATGGCGGTGGATGGGCGGGAGGCCGTGGTGGTGCAGGAGGAGCAAGGGCACGACCTGCCACACGCCATGCACACACACGATTTCCCGTAAGTCTACTCATCACTCTCGTTCATTGACGGGGTTGATTTCGGGGTTGTGAGGTGCCTCAAAACCCTGCAGGCGCTCACGGGGCCGATAGTGGGTTTTGAGGCGTCTCACAACCACCTTAGCGCCCACGGGGCCGATATCGGGAGGGCGGCTGGTGATGGCGGTGGATGGGCGCGAGGCAGTGGTGGTGGTGGAGGAGCAAGGGCACGATCTGCCTCACGCTATGCGCACTCACTCATGACTTCCCGTGAGTCGAGAGGGGACTGTTATCCGATGTACATGCTCCATTGTGTGAATGTCTGTGGTGATGTCCTGCCAAATCCGATGGAGCAGCCAGGGCATGACCTGCCAAATCCGATGGAGCAGCCAGGGCATGACCTGCCAAATCCGATGGAGCAGCCAGGGCATGACCTGCCAAATCCGATGGAGCAGCCAGGGCATGACCTGCCAAATCCGATGGAGCGGCCAGGGCATGACCTGCCAAATCCGATGGAGCAGCCAGGGCATGACCTGCCAAATCCGATGGAGCAGCCAGGGCATGACCTGCCAAATCCGATGGAGCAGCCAGGGCATGACCTGCCAAATCCGATGGAGCAGCCAGGGCATGACCTGCCAAATCCGATGGAGCAGCCAGGGCATGACCTGCCAAATGCCATCTTGTTTGAGGTTGATTTTGAGAATTCTCAAAATCAACCTCAAACAAAAGAGAATTCTCAAAATCAACCTCAAACAAAAGAGAATTCTCAAAATCAACCTCAAACAAAAGAGAATTCTCAAAATCAACCTCAATCGTGATGGAGGAGCAGCCAGGGCATGACCTGCCAAATGCCATCCGCACCCTTGACTTCCCATGACACGCATCCCATCCCTCCCCTCCCCGCCACCCTTCTCCTCCCTACTTAACCAGCCTCCCTTCACCAGTCTCGCACACCCTTGTACAGCAGCTCTCACACACTGCTCCTCTCTGCTGTACAAACCGACGAATCTTTTGGCGCCTCGAAAATCATCCCTTCACCAGTCATGCTCTCACACTTTGCTCCTCGCTGCTGTACAAGCCGACTCATCCACCCACCCTACCGCTCCCCCCTCTCCTCCCCCCCCCACTCTCCCTTCTCCAGTCACGCTCTTACGCACTGCTCCTCGCCGCTATACAAGCCGACGCACGCTGGCCGGCTGCGCGAGTGGATGGATTTCCACCGCACTGTTCACCGCGTCGACCTCTTCCTGCTGTACGATGCGGGCGGCGTGGACGGCGCGGTTCGGCACGCACTGCAACCCCTGCTGGCGGGCGGCACAGTGCAGATCGCGGATCTCAGAGACGCCGCCCGGTTTGAGAGCTACCACCACGCACAGGTGAGTGTGTATGTGTGTATATGAGAGCTACATGGTTTGTCTGTATGTGTGTGCGTGTGAGTGAATGCAGGTGGGCGGGCGTGCTGGTGTCTGTTTTCGTATGTGCCTGCATGATAAGGAGTCTGCACAGCAAGTGACTGTAGAATGAGCTATTCCTTCACTTCCTCTCTGAGATTTATAAACAACTGACCACTCCCTGCCTCCCCTCCTTTTCCTTCCCACCCCTCCGTTCCCTCCCCTCCCCACCTGCTCCTTCCTCTCCTCCTTCACCTCTCCCCCCCAGCTCCTAGCAATGACTGACTGCATATTCCATATGCGGCACCTTTACGCGGCACCTCTACGCGGCACCTCTCCCTCTGGACGCTCTTCTTTGATTCTGATCACTACATCATCCCCCCCCCCCCTCCCTTCCCTCACTTACACTCACTTTCCCTACTACTACTTTCTTTCCCCTCCTCACCTCCCCCCCAGCTCCTAGCAATGAACGATTGCATATTCTGCACGCCCTCATCTCCAAACGCTACTCCCCTTACCCTTCCCTTCCCTTGAACCCCCATTCCTCCAGCTCCTAGCGATGAACGACTGCATATTCGCACAAGGCACCTCAGCACCCCCTTTCCCTCCCCTCACCCACCCTCTCCCTCCGCTTCCCCCTCTCCCCCCCCCCCCCCCCCCCCCCCCCCCCCCCCCCCCCCCCCCCCCCCCCCCCCCCCCCCCCCCCCCCCCCCCCCCCCCCCCCCCCCCCATATTCCGCACAAGGCACCTCAGCACCCCATTTCCCTCCCCTCCCCCACCCTCTCCCTCCGCTTCCCCCTCTCCCCCCCCCCCCCCCCCCCCAAGCTCCTAGCGATGAACGACTGCACATTCCGCACAAGGCACCTCAGCACCCCCTTTCCCTCCCCTCACCCACCCTCTCCCTCCGCTTCCCCCTCTCCCCCCCCCCCCCCCCCCCCCCCCCCCCCCCAGCTCCTAGCGATGAACGACTGCATATTCCGCACAAGGCACCTCAGCACCCCCTTTCCCTCCCCTCACCCACCCTCTCCCTCCGCTTCCCCCTCTTCCCCCCCCCCCCCCCCCCCCCCCCCTCAGCTCCTAGCGATGAACGACTGCATATTCCGCACGCGCCACCTCTCCCGCTGGACTCTCCTCCTCGACTTCGATCACTACATCTCCCTCCCCAACGCCCTCATTGCCAAACGCTACCAACCCCCCACCACCACCACTACCACCTCGGCCACCACTACCACTACCAATCCTGCCACCACCACTGCCACCGCCGGCGCCACTACCTTTCCCAGAACGCTACTGGCTGACCCGAGTAACACAAGGGCGCTCTCTCTGCTGGCGTTTCTAGATGGGAAGGGCCAGACTACTGATGCGAGAGGGCAGGGACAGGGGGTGGGGGAGGGCGAGGAGGGGTGGACGTGGGTGAGCTTTGGCTGCTTCGTCTTCTCTGTCGACCGCTGCGCTCCTTTGCCCGACATCAGGTGAGACGCTTGCTCCTTCTTTCTCGTAGATTCGTGTCGGGTGGGGACGGGCAGGCACAGGTGGAGGTGGCACGGGGCAGGGGCACGGGGCAGGGGCAGGGGCAGGGGCAAGGGCCGGGGGAGGGCGAGGAGGGGTGGACGTGGGTGAGCTTTGGCTGCTTCGTCTTCTCTGTCGACCGCTGCGCTCCTCTACCTGACATCAGGTGATGCTTGCTCCCTTTCTCTCTCTCTCTCGACTCTTGACGGGAGGGGGCAGGGGCAGGGGCAGGGGCATGGGGGGAGGGGGGGTTATGGGCGAGGAGGGGTGGACTTGGTTGAGCTTTGGGTGCTTCGTCTTCTCTGTCGACAGCTGCGCTCCTCTTCCTGACATCTGGTGATGCTAGCTCCCTTTCTCTCTTTTGGACTCTTGAGGGGAGGGGACAGAGGCAGGGGGCAGGGGAAGGGGCAGGGGCAGGGGCAGGGGCAGGGGCAGGGGCAGGGGCAGGGGCAGGGGCAGGGGCAGGGGCAGGGGCAGGGGCAGGGGCAGGGGCAGGGGCAGGGGGAGGAGGGGGGAGCAGGGGGGGGGCGAGGAGGGGTGGACGTGGGTGAGCTTCGGGTGCTTCGTCTTCTCTGTCGACAGCTGCGTGCCTTTGCCCGACATCAGGTGAGACGCTTGACGGGAGGGGGCAAGGGCAGGGGCTGGGCGAGGGACAGGGGCAGGGGCAGGGGGGGGCGAGGAGGGGTGGATGTGGGTGAGCTTCGGGTGCTTCGTCTTCTCTGTCGACCGCTGCGCGCCTTTGCCCGACATCAGGTGAGACGCTTGCTCCCTTTCTGTTGCCCGCTTATTTTGGGGGGAGAGGAGTGGGGGCATTTGGTTATAAAGTAAGCGAGCTTTCAGTAGCACCAAATATCTGATTTTCACCCCATGTGCATTAAATCCCATGCAGTGAAGGCGACGAGTGGGCGGTGGAGTGCATGGTGTATCGGGACCCTGAGGCCTACTGCAGGGAGATCAGTGACTACAGCAACAAAACCGCATGGCATGGCATGCATGTTTATTTAACTTGTGTGTTGCTATGTTTCTATATCTGCCACCGTCCTCAACCCATGCAGTGAGGGGGATGAGTGGGCGGTGGAGCGGATGGTGTATCGGGACCCGGAGCCCTACTGCAAGGAGAACAGCAGCTACAGCGACAAGACCGTGTGCCAAAAGGCAGATGGCCTTCGCCAACTCGCCATCAACCCTCGCAAAACCCTCGTGGTTCAGAGCAACCGGTGAGTGAAACGCGGGTCATGGGGCATACGGGTTCAACCTGCATTTGCCATCAACCCCCGCAAAACCCTCGTGGTTCAAAGCAACCGGTGAGTAAGACGAGTCATGGTTTGCTAAACCCCCCACGGCTGCCCAATAGTTCAGCAGACCCTTGTACCAAAGAGGGCATGCAATGCAATGAAATGGAATGCAGTGGAGGTGCAGCCTCCCAGTTATTAGTTCTAACGTTTACGAGGTGCTGTGTTTTTGGTGCAGAATTCTGAATGCGGAGCCAGGAGGGTACATAGCGCCCACGGGGAGTGTGCGCATGAACTACTTCAAGGGGCTTTCTGAACGCGAGCGCAGCACCTGCGAAATTATCATGCCCAATGCTGATGGTACCATCGATGCCAACTTGACTCAAGATTACTCCGTTTCGAATTTAGCCGTTGCCGCTCGATATAGATTAGCTGCTAACAACAATGGGCTAACATAATAATATTGCTTTGACGACCTCAAAGTGTTCAAGAATAACGAAGCACAAGTCTCAAAAAGCGTACTTGAGGTGCTTGTTCACATCCCGTGCCAACATCTTATCGTGTCTCGTAACCCTACGCACCTCCTCAAACGCGTATGACACTGAAATTCAGGACGCGTCACAATTGAAACATCGATCCTGCGCAGGATCGGTGTTTCGCGGGTACAGTACTTCGTTAAGTTGCGAATTGGTGGTTACTTGGCTTCGTTATCTGTCGTCAATGTACAGTTGTCCCCTCGAGTCACGCGATCGATGTGCCCTTGCCACACATCGATCATGCAATTTCGTCAAGATCGGGAGATTTTGCCCCATGATTTTTCAAACGTGTCCCTTGAGAATTGCGATGGGCCCGCGATTGCAACAATGCAGTCGTGGCACACCGATGTGGCGATCGATTTGGCAGGATCGGCGAACACCCCCGATCCTCCTCGGTATTTCAATTGTGACGCGTCCTTAGCCCTCCAATTTCTGAAACCACCTGTCTTCTTTGCATGGCTTGGCCTTGAGGTTCCCGCTGCCAGCAGGCGGCACGCGCAATACCTCTGTCGTCCGCGTGTAATGGCACCATTGAATCTCATGCGAGCCACGTGTCGTGCGCTCTGTCGGGACGTGGCGTGTTGTCGTTCGTCTACTCCGCGCCTCCGCCCCTCACCGTGGTTTGCGCGAAGTATGGAAACTCCGGCCGAAACGCATCCTTGCGGAAAGCATGAGCAGAACGAATCCGCGCGGAAAGCATGTAGGCGGAGCGAAAAGCACAAGCGGATTGCATCCGGACGGGAAAGCATAGAGGCGGAAGTTAATGTTTGCGGAGGAGATGGGGCGCAGATGCAGGCGAAGGAAGGCGCATTCGCCCCGCCGGATTGAAAATCTCAACGTGGTTGATGCGGCTTTCCAAGGCGGCCCAGGCGTCCAACGCAGTGACGAGGCGAGGTTGCAGGGTGGGATGCGGTGGTATAAGAGGGGGTGGGAAGGGATGTGATGCGATGGGATGGTTTGATATGCGATGGCGCGGAATGATCCGAGCGCTCTTGCTGCTTTAGACGGATTCAATCATTCAACCAGATTCGGCCGTCTTAGTTTTGCTCCCTCGGCAGCGGCTCATCAGCGACCGTGCGACGCCAATATTTTTTCTCTCTACTGATATTTTTCACACACCACTTGTGTTCGAACAGTGGCAGCTACAACCATGGCTGCGACTGCTGCCACCACCATCCAACTCTCGTTAGCCGTACACGGCATACGCCCTGCTCTGGCGCCCTCCCACGGGGATCATTCAATAACGGGTACAAAGGGAAAGTGCCGCGTGACAATCCCATGGTGGAGCAGCCGCAGCGGCAGCAGCAGCAGGACCAGGATCAGCGTCAGCAGTAGCTTCAACAGCAGCGGAGGTAGTGGTCACAGGAGCGACGGGTTTTCGTGGACTGCGAGACGCGTGGAGAGGAGGCGACTGGGGGGGCGAGGAGGAAGAGGAGTAGGAGGTGGAAAACCGTGGGGGGCGCCAGACAGGGAAAAATCTGGAGAGAAAATAGAAGGTGACGATAATACGCGAGATGGTGACAGTATCAAGCGAGAAAGTGACTATATCAAGCAGGGTGGTGGTGAGAATGAGAAGCAGAGAGCTGACCATGTGAAGACGGATCGTAACTATATGCAGCTGATAAGGGATGACGGCGGGATTGGGCGGGTGGTTACCACCCAGGTCGCAGCCCTCCCTGCTCGCCTGCACCAGATGCTACCTCCCCTTTCCTCCCCGCACTCGCGACACCTCGCCCTCCTCCTCGCCGCCCCCCTGCTGCTTCTCTTCCTCCTCTTGCTGCGCCGCACCGTCGCTCGCACGGTCCTTGCAGCTTCCTCTGGTGTGCATCGTTTCTTTGCCGCGCTGCCCCGTGCTGTGGGTGGACTCATGAGGCTGAGGCCCCAAACGCCTGAAAAGACTTTGCCGCATGTAGCGGCTGAAGAAGACAGCTTGGAGCTGCGGCAGAGGGCTCAGCTTGTCATTGGACAGGAGCAGCTGCAGCAGCAGGATGAGGAGGAGGAGGAGGATGAGCAGAAGGAGGAGGCGGAGTCACCAGCTGCTGCAGCAGAAGTTGGCTTGGAGCTGCGGCAGAGGGCTCAGCTAGTCATTGGACAGGAGCAGCAGCAGCAGCAGCAGCAGCAGCAGCAGCAGGATGAGGAGGGGCAGAAGAAGGAGGAGGAGGCTTCACCAGCTGCAGCAGCAGTAGCAGCAACAGCACCGCCACCAGCAGCAGCAGCAGCAGAAAAGAAACAAAGCAAATCAGCAGCAGCAGCAGCAGCAGCAGCAATAGTAGCAATAGTAGCACCGGAGGAGCTTGTGTCAAGTCTTGAAGAGATTTCGTACTTGCGGGATAGGGTTCGGCTTATGATTGAGGAGAAGGGGGAGGGGGATGATGAGGAGGAGGAGGAGGAGAGGGGGGAGGGGGAGGAGGAGTGGGATGAGGAGGAGGAGGAGTGGGGTGAGGAGGAGGAGTGGGGGGAGGAGGAGGAGGAGGAGTGGGGGGAGGAGGAGGAGGAGGAGGAGGAGGAGGAGGAGGAGGAGGAGGAGGAGGAGGAGGAGGAGGAGGAGGAGGAGGAGGTGGTGGTGGAGTGGGGGGAGGAAGAGGAAGAGGAGGCGGAGGAGTGGGGGGAGGAAGAGGAAGAGGAGGAGTGGGGGGGGGAAGAGGAAGAGGAGGAGAAGGAGTGGGGGGGGGAAGAGGAAGAGGAGGAGGAGGAGTGGTGGGAGGAGGAGGAAGAGGAGGGGTTGAGCACTGAGGGGATAACGGAGCAAGAGCAACAGCAGGTTCAGCAGTCTCTGAAGCAACTGATTGGTGAGGGTGAGGCTGACGAAGCGACTATTGTTGCTGCTGTTCGTAATGCTGCTGCTGGTGATGGTGGTTCCAGTGGTAGCAGCAGTGGTGGTGGTGGTGGTGATGTTGATGTATTGTTTGAGTCACTGAATGCGGCAGATGACATTTTTTCAATGATGCTGGCACTTGATGTGCGCTGGGTGGATGCAACAGAAGGTTCAGGTGAAAATTCAGGTGATCTTGGTGGTTGTTTACTTTTTGAAGCAGCAGGGGAACTAGCGGCAGCAGGGGAAGCAGTGGAGGAAGAAGCAGAAGAGGCAGCAGAGGGAGCAACAGGCGGAGAAACCAAGAGAGCAGCAGAGGGAGCAGTAGACGAAGCAGCAGATGCAACAGCAGAGGCAATGGCAGAGGGAGCAACAGAAAAAGAAGCAGAGGGAGCAACGAAGGCAACAGCATTGGGAGCAGCAGAGGCAACAGCAGAGGAAGCAGCAGAGGGAGCAACGGAGGCAACAACATTGGGAGCAGCAGAGGCAACAGCAGAGGAGGCAGCAGAGGAAGCAGCAGGAGAAGCAGCAGGGGTGGCAGCAGCAGAGAAAGCAGCAGAGGGAGCAGCAGAGGCAGCACGAGAGGCATCAGAGGAAACGGCAGGAGACGCAACAGGAAAAGCAGCAGCAGGGGAAGCAGCAGCAGGGGCAGCAGCAGAGGGGCTAGTAGAGGAAGCAGCAGAAGAAGAAGCACAGGGAACAGCAGAGGGGGAAGCAGAGGAGGAAGCGGACGAAGAATCCGAGGGAGAAACAGGGGAAGCAGCAGAGAAAGCAGCTGAGGAAGAAGCAGAGGAAGCAGCAGGAGAAGCTGCAGAAAAAGCGGGCAAAGCAGAGGCTGTGAAGAGTGCAGAGGAAGCAAGGACGGAACATGAGGCGAGCGGGATAGTTGTTGACAGGGAGAACCAATCGGGCAAGAGTATTGATTTCACAGCACAGGACAACAATGGTTTTGTTGTTTCAGAAGAATCTGGAACACTGGGATCAGCAGCAGTAGTTGGGGAAAACAAATCCCAAGGGAGCGTTGACAGGAAGGGAAGGGGTGAAGTTGAGGAGGAGAGAATCAAATCGGGTTTTGTTCCTGATTGGTGGCAGAAGGCCTGGGATGAGGTGGTCCTGCATCGGGCACAGGGATTGGATGGAGGTTCGGGTCGAACCAGACCGACAGGTTTGGGAGGCGCTCCTGGGAAAGGCACACGACTGGCTGTGATGGGTATGTGGATGGGTGGGGGAGGGAGGGTAGGAGGCATGGTTTGTACGGCTGTGTTATGATGTGCTATGGAACGATATGCAGGTGTGTGGAAGGGGGTGACTTTTGAGTCGACTCAAAAGTCAGGGTAGGAGGGATGGGTTGTACGGCTGTGTTATGATGTGCTACGGCTGTGTTATGATATGCTACGGAACGATATGCAGGTGTGTGGAAGGGGGTGGGGGTTTGGGGTAAGCAGGGTTAGGTGAAATGGTAGAACAGGACGGGAGAGATGTGTATGTGTGGGTATGTATGAGGCGGTCAAATGTGCCCCTTATTACGAACATGTCTTGTTGCTAGCCTTGCGTTCATTTCAGGTGCGGTGTGATTGTTTATCATTGTTTTTGTCATCGTTATTGTCATTCTCATTCTCATTGTCAGGGGCATTGGAGCATTTCAACTCGCACGGCCACATCCCACCAGAAGCTCTCAAGCAGGTGCACACACCACAATTCACCCTGTCACACCGCATCGCACCGCATTACACCGCATCACACCAAACAAAGCCACATCGCACCACACTTCTAACCTTCCCTACTTCCGCACTTCAAATGGTCCAATAGAGCATTCCAAACCATATTCCGCGCCACTCGCTGTCCCAAACCCCTGTGAGCCGTCAGATCTGGGCGGCGTGGCGAGAATCTGGTGACACGTGGCACACTCAGAGGGACTCTGTGCAGCTGATAGTGTTCAACGCCGCCGTCCAGCTGGCACTGGACGAATGCATGAGGTGAGTGAGAGGGAGGGCCAGGATCTGAAAAATGGAGTGTGCCAGATGAGTGACTTTTTGAGGCGCCTCGAAAGATGAGCGGGGACAGGGTGTTTGTAGGGGTGTTAGCCGGTTTCTGAAGAATCCCATACGATGTTGACACCTTTACATGCCCCTACTGCACCGAATTTTTGCCTCTATCTTCTGCCTCACGTGCAGGTCGCCCTGTTCCCCCACCTCCTCCGGCCCGTCGTTCCTCGCTGTCATGGCAGCAGCTGTTCGCCTCTCACCATCCCTCCCTCTCCCCCTCCCTTGCCCTCGCTTCCCCTCCTTCCCACCCCACCGTGCCTCACAGCAGGTCGTCTCGTCTCCCCACCTCCTCCGGCCCGTCATTCCTCGCTGCCATGGAAGCAGCTGTTCGCCTCTCACCATCCCTCCCTCTCCCCCTCCCTTGCCCTCGCTTCCCCTCCTTCCCACCCCACCGTGCCTCACAGCAGGTCGTCTCGTCTCCCCACCTCCTCCGGCCCGTCATTCCTCGCTGCCATGGCAGCAGCTGTTGGCCTCTCACCATCCGTGGCCCTCGCAGCAACACTCAAGGGCGTGGTTGCCAGGCTGGAAACAGAGCTTGTCGTTTGCAATGTGAGTCTGCAGGGTGTTTGTGAGGCTACTCAAAGGCACACTAGACTGGCACTTCCCGTCCGCCTCTCGCCATCTGTAGCCCTCGCAGCAACACTCAAAGGCGAGGTTGCCAGGCTGGAAACAGAGCTTGTCGCTTGCAATGTGAGTCTGCAGGGTGTTTGTGAGGGTACTCAAAGGCACACTAGACTGGCACTTCCCGTCCGCCTCTCGCCATCTGTAGCCCTCGCAGCAACACTCAAGGGCGTGGTTGCCAGGCTGGAAACAGAGCTTGTCGCTTGCAATGTGAGTCTGCAGGGTGTTTGTGAGGGTACTCAAAGGCACACTAGACTGGCACTTCCCGTCCGCCTCTCGCCATCTGTAGCCCTCGCAGCAACACTCAAGGGCGAGGTTGCCAGGCTGGAAACAGAGCTTGTCGCTTGCAATGTGAGTCTGCAGGGTGTTTGTGAGGGTACTCAAAGGCACACTAGACTGGCACTTCCCGTCCGCCTCTCGCCATCTGTAGCCCTCGCAGCAACACTCAAAGGCGTGGTTGCCAGGCTGGAAACAGAGCTTGTCGCTTGCAATGTGAGTCTGCAGGGTGTTTGTGAGGGTACTCAAAGGCACACTAGACTGGCACTTCCCGTCCGCCTCTCGCCATCTGTAGCCCTCGCAGCAACACTCAAGGGCGTGGTTGCCAGGCTGGAAACAGAGCTTGTCGCTTACAATGTGAGTCTGCAGGGTGTTTGTGAGGGTACTCAAAGGCACACTAGACTGGCACTTCCCGTCCGCCTCTCGCCATCTGTAGCCCTCGCAGCAACACTCAAAGGCGTGGTTGCCAGGCTGGAAACAGAGCTTGTCGCTTGCAATGTGAGTCTGCAGGGTGTTTGTGAGGGTACTCAAAGGCACACTAGACTGGCACTTCCCGTCCGCCTCTCGCCATCTGTAGCCCTCGCAGCAACACTCAAGGGCGTGGTTGCCAGGCTGGAAACAGAGCTTGTCGCTTGCAATGTGAGTCTGCAGGGTGTTTGTGAGGGTACTCAAAGGCACACTAGACTGGCACTTCCCGTCCGCCTCTCGCCATCTGTAGCCCTCGCAGCAACACTCAAAGGCGAGGTTGCCAGGCTGGAAACAGAGCTTGTCGCTTGCAATGTGAGTCTGCAGGGTGTTTGTGAGGGTACTCAAAGGCACACTAGACTGGCACTTCCCGTCCGCCTCTCGCCATCTGTAGCCCTCGCAGCAACACTCAAAGGCGAGGTTGCCAGGCTGGAAACAGAGCTTGTCGCTTGCAATGTGAGTCTGCAGGGTGTTTGTGAGGGTACTCAAAGGCACACTAGACTGGCACTTCCCGTCCGCCTCTCGCCATCTGTAGCCCTCGCAGCAACACTCAAAGGCGAGGTTGCCAGGCTGGAAACAGAGCTTGTCGCTTGCAATGTGAGTCTGCAGGGTGTTTGTGAGGGTACTCAAAGGCACACTAGACTGGCACTTCCCGTCCGCCTCTCGCCATCTGTAGCCCTCGCAGCAACACTCAAAGGCGAGGTTGCCAGGCTGGAAACAGAGCTTGTCGCTTGCAATGTGAGTCTGCAGGGTGTTTCTGAGGGTACTCAAAGGCACACTAGACTGGCACTTCCCGTCCGCCTCTCGCCATCTGTAGCCCTCGCAGCAACACTCAAAGGCGAGGTTGCCAGGCTGGAAACAGAGCTTGTCGCTTGCAACGTGAGTCTGCAGGGTGTTTGTGAGGGTACTCAAAGGCACACTAGACTGGCACTTCCCGTCCGCCTCTCGCCATCTGTAGCCTTCGCAGCAACACTCAAGGGCGTGGTTGCCAGGCTGGAAACAGAGCTTGTCGCTTGCAATGTGAGTACTCTGTGTGGGTGGTAACAATGAGGCGTGCACGTGTTGTTGTGTGACAATAACCTGGCGGTAGGAGTGCTGCCATGGTATCCGTTGTTCCCCCTGTATTGATCTGGTTGTTTGTGTGAGTGTGTTCAAAATAGGGATTTGTATAATTCTTCATGTGCCTCCATGCAGGAGCTGTCAAGTGAGGACAGGTGGGCTGCAAAGGCCTTACTTCCATCAATCTCGTGTTGTACTTGTGGGATTTGTATAATTCTTCATGTGCCTCCATGCAACTCTTGAGGCGCTTCAATATGCTACTCCATCACATACCTTTTTGGTTTGTGCACGTGTGTTGTGTGGCTGTATGGGAAGCAGGGCATGATAGAAGCGTTTATGTGGCGCCATGCTAACGTCAAGTTGCGCCAGATAGTGAACCTGCTCTCTGCGTTCACTCTCTCTGCCATCTCGGTACGTGGCTTATGTGCCTGGATGATCAACACACACGTGCACATGCTCTCGTGCTGCACTCCTGCACACATCCACACGTTTGCTTTCCCCCTCGTCTTCCCACTCCCTCCCCCTCCCTCCCCCCATTCCTCTCTTTGCATCCACACCACCTTGTGCTACCTGTATCACAACAGTATAACTCCAGCACCCCATTCCTCCCGCTTTCACCCATCTTCTCCCCTTGCCCCCGTCTTCTCCCCTTGCCCTCATCTTCTCCCTTTGCCCCATCTTCTCCCCTTGCCCTCATCTTATCGGTTGCCCCATCTTCTCCCCTTGCCCTCATCTTATCGGTTGCCCCATCTTCTCCCCTTGCCATCATCTTCATCCATCCCCACCAGCCTGAGCTAGTGTCATCAGCCCATCGACTGGGTGCCGTGCTGACTCGCCGGCAGCGGGAGGAGCTGGCATGGATGTATGAGAGGGCTGCTGGTCCCAAGCATGTGGTGCTCGTGAGGACTGCTCTTGGGGTATAATGTAGGGTTTGCCAAGTTAGCTATCGACCACCACGCGACGGATGTGTTTTCCTTTGTTGATTGAATTTAGCTGATTGCTACTTAAAACCCGGGGGCCAAGAAGATCAAATTAGGTTCATCCTTCCTAGTGTTGGTTGGGTGTCCCAAAATCGCCTGTGATTTTCCCGAGTTTCTACCACCTCGTCCAACAACTTCGACACTCCTATTGGCTCACGGGCAATTACCGTCCTCACTCCCAACCAACCTTCCTAAGCTTGAATATCTTGGCCCGCGGGTTTTAACGAAAAATTATGTAGTGTGAAATTTCGAATGCACTGTTCTATCCTGTCGAATCAGGGGTGTGGCACACATTTTGTTTTATAAGCCATGGCACAGCGGCAGTTTTCGTACCGAGTCAGTCTGTAGTTATGTTTTTTTTTCACGCCTTCTCCACGCCCACCATCTTCACATCATGCATCGCACCACCCCTCCCTCCATCATTCCGTTGCGCAATTCACACACTATCACACTTCGGAAATAGAGGTATCATTTCAAACTCGTATGAACATTTGAGTTCGCCAGCTTGTCGAGTGGGTTGATGGCGCACGCGTCACTTCAACAGATTTCACACTAGACTGCTTGGCGGATGCGGAGCGACACGTGGCACGTACCCGTGCTTCCGTACGATGGCTGATGGTTCGTTCATAGTGGCGAGTTGTAACAGTGTTCAGTACACCTGACACGGCAGACAGTTCGCTGTCGCGGGTGACATGACACTGAAGCTGACTCAACAAGGGGTATCGAGCGCGTCGGGCGGCATCACTACCCGACGTAGGATCCTGATGATGGCTCCTGCTCCCTCAGGTGTGGGACCCTAACGGAACGAGGTTTGGCAACTCAGAAGAGCAATTGCGAAACCTGAAGAGCAAGATGAACTTCCCTCTCTCCTGGGTGGCATGGCGAGGGTTTCAGTCCAAACCAGAACTCGGATCCACAACGCGGAAATGTTTTTTTCATGCCCCGGGTACCGTCAAGTTCGCCCACATTCACGGTAACATCCGCCTGTTCTCGGCGACCCACTCGCTCAGCGGCTAAGCGCCTGCACCTGCCAGGCACCGGTGGGAATTTTTCACCCCGCAAGCTCAGTGGCGACTTCTAGTACGAGTGGCAATTTTTCCATGGCAATCCAGCCACCGCAGCTGGCGTTTCATCCGCTCTTGGTCCGCCACCCCTGCGGAACTCTGGCGAGGCAGGAGTTTCCTTTCAGTTCCAGAATTACTCCCGGGAAATTCAAACTATCCAGCTGCCCTGAAGTGTCATACAGGAGTCCCATACCAATTCACTCTCTGGCCCGTTGATTTGAAACATGAAAAGGCCTTGGCAGCTCACTACCACACCACATACGTTCCCTCTCCATAGGCGACTCCCATGGCTGTGCAGCTTCGAGCATGCCGAGGCGTGAAGCTTCAAACCTACCATGAACCGTCACCCAGCGTTAGTTCTTGTGGTAACCCTAGTGGTGGTAACCCCAATTCCACTCGCATTACTATTAGTGGTAACTGGACCGCATCTTATAATCGTCTAAGCCCAGTAGTAGTAGCTTCGAGACGACTACAAAATGATCATGTTTATAGTCTGAGCCGAGCAGTACTCAGGAGCCGGGCAGGACCAGAAACGTTAGCCATTTTACCTTGGCGGAGGAGTGTTCTGGTAATTAGTAGCCCCTTGCAGGTGAACGCCACGAGGCGCTTTGAAACACCATGGCGGGGGATGCAGGGTAGTGGTCTGCGAGTTACTGCTCTGCAGAACAATGCTGTGCGGTTGAATGCGTTGCAGAATAACACTGACTTTTCTGATAACAGCAAGGAGGATGGCTCCTGGCAGGAAAAAGTTGTGAGGCGTCTTATTGCACTAAGCACACCGCACAGTGGCAGCAGCAGCAATAGTAACGTCAGCAGTAACAGCAGCAGCAACAGTAGTAGCAAAGAGTTTGATTCCCAGACAGCTGTTGAGTCCATTCAGGAGTCATCTGGTTACAATGTTACGGCACAGAGCTGGATCCCCAGCAACAGGGACGATGAATTCTCAAGGTTGTGGGAAGCAAGACGAACGCGGAGGCGGAGAGGGGGAGGTAGAGCGGGAAGAGGAGATGGTATATGGGGGGAAGGGGATAACCAGAGGGTATGGTCTCAGAGGGATGGTGATTATATAGAGAGGATTGGTGACTATATGGAGAGGATTGCTGACGATGTGGAGAAAATTGGTGAGGAGTGTGTAAAGGAGATTGGGGAGGGTGTAGGGCAGCAGATACGCCATCGAAGGAGACTTTTTGAGAGGAGGAGGAGAAGGGGTTCGTCAGCCTTGGGATTGTCGGACTTGTATAAATCTCCACTAGAGAAGGCCGTGGATTCGGTGTCTGACTGGGTTGCTGACGTGTCAGCGTCAGTGGCCGAGTCAGTTCCGCCCACAATGGAAAAGGCCAGGTGTGTCTTACACATATACTGAGTGTGCCACACACTCTCCCTGTCACCCACCCACTCCACATTTCCTGTCACAATTTTCCACTCTCACCCATCCCCCGGCTGTCTTTCACTTGTGATACCCATTTGCCCACCCACCCATCTTCCCAACACTCTAAACCCGTTCCCAACTACTGACAAGCTTGTTCGCACCACCCACTCGCTTGCTATCCACCCATCATCCCATCCCACCCATCCACCCACCCCTCCACTGACAGGCGTGTTCTCACCACCCAGGTCGCAGCCCTCCCTGCTCGCCTGCACCAGATACTACCTCCCCGCTCCTCCCCTCTCCCCCTCCGCCTCGCCCTCCTCCTCTCCTCCTCCCTCCTCCTCCTCTGCCTGCTCCTCCGCAGCTCCCTTGTCGCACGCAGCTTGCAGGCAGCTTCTGCTGCGGTGCGCTCATTCTTTGCCCCTGTGCTGTGGGCTGTGAGTCCCGAGGAGGTTTTGCAGCAGCAGGAGGAGGAGGCTGAACGGAATGCACAGCAGCAGCAGCAGGAGCAGGAGAAAGCTGCGCGGAAGGCACTGCAGCAGCAGGAGGAGGAGGCTGAGCGGAGGGCACTGCAGCAGCAGCAGCAGCAGCAGCAGCAGCAGCAGCGGCAGGAGGAGGAGGAGAAGGAGAAGGAGGCTGAGCGGAAGGTATCTGTTGAGAATTCTAAAGAAATGGCAGCTTCCGCTGCTCTGCGCTCGTTCTTTGCGCCTGTGCTGTGGGCTGTGAGTCCTGAAGAGGTTTTGCAGCAGCAGCAGCAGGAGAAGGCTGAGCGGAAGGCACCGCTACAGCAGGAAGAGAAAGCTAAACGGAAGGCACCGCTACAGCAGGAAGAGAAAGCTAAACGGAAGGTATCTGCTGAGAATCCCAAATTAACGGCAGCCGCCGCTGCGGTGCGCTCATTCTTTGCGCCTGTGCTGTGGGCTGTGGGTCCTGAAGAGGTTTTGCAGCAGCAGGAGGAGAAGGCAGAGCAAAATGCACTGCAGCAGCGACAGCAGCAGCAGCAGCAGCAGCAAGAGGGCCAGCAGCAGCAGCAGAAGCAGCAGCAGCAGCAGCAGCAGCAGCAGCAGCAGCAGCAGCAGCAGCAGCAGCAGCAGCAGCAGCAGCAGGAGCAGACAGGCAGTAGCAGGACTGGTGAAACTGTTAGTTCTGCCTTTGTGATGAAAACTGCCTTTGGGTTCAGTGGTGGTTATGCTGGTTCTGATGGTGGAGTGGAAACAGCAGGGAAAGAGGAAGAAGACATTCACCGGACGATGCTGGCTCTTGAAATGAGCCAGGTGGATACAACAGAGCGCTCAGGTGAAAGATCAGGTGAACGTGCAGGGAGACCAGGGAAAGCACAGAAGGGCATGGGTGGAGCCAGAAGTCAATCTGGGAAGATATATAATCCTCATCGCAGTCAATCTATCAGAGGCAGCAGATTTGATCGTACAGCTGTCGAGAATCAAGAGAACGGCAAGAAATCAAAATCGGATCTTATTCCTGATTGGTGGCGTGATGCCAGGGGCGAGTTGGCCTTGCAGCAGACGCAGCGGTTGGTTGCAGGCTCGGGTGCAGGCGCGGACAGTGGCCGAGCCGGGGTGGCTGGTTCGGGAGGCGCTTCGGTGAAGGACACACGGGTCACAGTGATGGGTAAGCAGGCTGGGATGAGGTGGGATATGGTGAGATGCGGTGGGATACGGTGGGATGCGGTGGGATGAGGTTGCCTGGGTAGGAAGACACATGTGCATGGGATAAGTAGCTTGTATCTGAGAATCATCGTAATCAGGTTCTGAGATGTGTGTAGACTAATCAATCCCCGCACGTCGTCGTCTCACTGCTTGTGTTTTCCTCCAATGGCGTGCGATTCTGAGCTCAGGTGCTTTGGAGCAGTTCAACTCACAGGGGCACATTCCTGCAGATGCTCTCATTCAGGTGTGCCGCACCTGACCGCATTGCACCGCACAACACCTCAGTAGGCCTGTTTGAAACTATTCCCCAGGCCGATGAGATGCACATTCACATCCTCAGCATCACAAATACTATCTCAGCACACTCCCCGTCCGTCTGAACATCCGCGTGAGATGAGTCGATTTTTTAGTCGACTCAAAAATCGACTCATCTCACGTTGAGTCGACTCAAAAATCGACTCATCTCACGCGAGATGCACATTCACATCCTCAGCATCACAAATACTATCTCAGCACACTCCCGTCCGTCTGTCTGAACATCCACCTTTCCCTATCCACGTCTGCGAGCCGTCAGATCTGGGCGGCGTGGCGAGCATCTGGTGACACGTGGCACACTCAGAGAGACTCTGTGCGGCTGATAGTGTTCAACGCTGCCGTCCAGCTGGCACTGGATGAATGCATCGGGTGAGAGGATGAGAGAGATGGAGTGATGATATGGGGTGACGGGGATTGGGCGAGGGGGAAAGGGTGAGAGGGATGGAGTCAGGCGGGGGAAGTTTCGGTTTGGGGGGATGGAGTGAGGGGTATATGGAGTACCAGGGGGTATATGGGATGGGAAGGAAGGACAGGAGTTTCCAGCCATCAATCATTGTTGAGTCGTGTTTTGATTCGACTCAAAACACGACTCAGTTTCGGCTTTGGGGGATGGAATGAGGGGGATATGGAGTTCAGGAGATGGGAAGGACAGGAGTATCCAGCTATCAATAATTGTTGGGAACAAGGGCATGCAGCAACATCCCTTCCCCCTTCCCCTTTCCCTCTTCCCCCCCCTGTTTCCAAGTTCCCCTCTCTCTCCATTCCCCCTTCCCCCCGTACAGCTCGCACCACCCACCAAAACTCCCCACCTCGGGCCCATCATTTCTTGTGGCCATGGCAGAAGCGGTGGGCCTGGCCCCTCCTTCACAGTCCCGCTCTCTCTGTCCCCCTCTCCTCTTTCCCCCCCCATCTTAACAGCTCCCACCAGCCGTCCAAACTCCCCACCTCGGGCCCGTCATTCCTGGTGGCCATGGCTGAAGCTGTGAGCCTGGCCCCGCCTTCAGCTCTGGCAGCAGCTGTGACCCTCACAATCCCCCTATCCCCCTCCCCCCCCCGCCTTCCCCTCGCTTCACAGCTCGCAGCAGCCATCCAAACTCCCCACCTCGGGCCCGTCATTCATAGTGGCCATGGCAGAAGCTGTGAGCCTGGCCCCGCCTTCAGCTCTGGCAGCAGCGCTGCGAGGGGTGGCGAGCAGAGTGGCAGCGGAGCTCGTGGCATGCAATGTGAGTGCCTTGTGTTGTCTGCTGAGTGCTCCCTTGTGAGTCTACTCAAAAGCCATGGCAGCAGCGGTGTGCCTCACATCCCCATCAGCTCTGGCAGCAGCGCTGCGAGGGGTGGCGAGCAGAGTGGCAGCAGAGCTTGTTGCATGCAATGTGAGTGCCTTGTGTTGTCTGCTGTGTGCTCCATTTAGTCTACTCAAAAGCCATGGCAGCAGCAGTGTGCCTCACATCACCTGCAGCTCTGGCAGCAGCGCTGCGAGGGGTGGGCAACAGAGTGGGAGCAGAGCTTGTTGCGTGCAATGTGAGTGCGGGTGTGCATGTTTATGATCGTGTGCATTTGGTAATCCCAACAGTGGCTGGTAAAGTAGGCTTCCCCGTCGTCATTGGCTTTGTCGACCCTTCCATGTTTTGTTTTTTCCCCAAGGAATTTTCCTTCTTTCTTCTTCTTTTTCTAAGCAGGAGCTGTTAGAAGCGAGTAAGAGGGGCGAGGCAGAGGAGAATCTACGGCAGATTTCAAATCTCCTCTCAGTGTTCACTCCTGCTGCAGTTGCGGTGCGTGCCCTTTGATTGTTCAATTGCACTCAAAAGCCTTTGCTTCTACAACATGGCTATGCACTTCTTCACAAGAATGGGCTTTTGGATATGCATGCGCATGCATGCACATCCTTCCACATCCATCCATGCATGAGCTGCATGCACATCCTTCCACATCCATCCATGCGTCACATGCATGCGTATGCGTTTGCTCAACACTTCTGTGCTCTGGTTCCATATGATCCCTTTTCCGCGATCTCTCCCAGCCCGAACTGGCATCCTCGGCCAACGTTTTACGTGAGATGCTGTCGCAGCGAGAGCGGGAGGAGCTGGCATGGATGTATGAGAAGGCTGCTGGACCCAAGCATGCAGCACTCGTGAAGAAAGTGCTTGGGCTTTAAATAAGTTGATGCCACTGAGACTTAACTGATGATGCCTCTAGCCATGTGCTTGTGAGGGAACTTTTGGTGTGTTAATTGAAGCCTCCAGTCCAATCAATTATACATATTTTTGGATAACAATGGCTGAGTGGTTGATCCTTCAATATTTGGAGGTTCAGTTGGCTGTTTGTCAGGAAAGAGTATGAGACAGTGAGGTGAGGAGGGGGTAGATTAATCCTGCCTTAGCCTTGGGAATATACCTAGATGGAATCTCTGTATCATTTCATCACACAATAAAATTACAGACTGCATGCCTGACTAGCAACATCACACCAGCAAGACTTCCTACAGCTGTCTCTGCAATCCTAACTCCTGATACTGCCCCGAATCATTACTACTTTCGATCCTCCACGCTTCACTTGCTGAAGAAATCTTTAATGCCCGAAAAAACAGTCCTGCAGGAGGGAGTTAAAAGATCCACGGACAATCAAGGGAGGGCCCGAATTGGGTGGGAGAAGGAAAAACAAACGCAAAAAAAAAAACAGTGATGAGCTGTAGCGCAAAAGACAATCAGAGGAAGGAAAATGACACGCTTACTAGGAGCTAAGGTCTTAACCGGAAGCGACCCTTCAACCAGGCCCAAGCCGCTCTTGCCCCTGCTGCTGCAACAGCCATGGTCAAAGCTAAGACTGCAGCTAGCAGTGCTGCATTTGCCACATGGCGCCATGTGATTGGTGTGGCTTGAGAAACGAACGGCTGAATGGTCTCCTCTGTGAATCTCCTGGCCTCTGATTGGATGGTTTGGATCACTCGTTTGGCCCCTCTGCAGCATCAACCAGAGCAACCAATGAGCGCACGCCACGTGTGTGCAGAGCAGGCGGGGCATTTCAAATATCACCGTTGGGAGGTGCTGGCTTATAAGTGGACTCAAAGCCACCTCGTGGTTTGGTGGTGCTGGATATTGAGTGAGTCAACTCAAGAGTCAAAGTGAGTCAACTCAAGAGTCAGCTCACGGTTAGAAGGTGTTTGCGTGACAGAAAGCCCTGCCTGGTTCTCAAGTTGCTGTGGTTTCGGGGCTGAAAAGGCAGAACTAGGGGTAGAGTTCTGGAGGGGCAAGGCGAGGTATAGAGAGGATAAATCAAGGGTTCAGGGGCAGAGGGGCTCACTTGACAGTGTCGACGATGCCCTCCCCATCCACGCCTGAGCTGGAGGATGAACCCCGTGGCCCTGAGAGGGGTGAATGGGGGAGAAGGAGCGAGGGAGAGAGGAGAGGGAGACGGGAGAGGGAAAAGGGGTAAAAATTAGGGGAGAGGGGAGAGAGAGGGAAAACAAGGGGAGAGAAAGCGGAGAGAGGGGGTAGAGAGGAGAGCAACTAAGAAAGCCTTATTGATCCCGATGCAATAAACTCCTCGCCCCCTCACACACACACAGCAAGCATGCAAGCTATGAATCAAGCAAGAAGGGAGAAGCGAGAAGGGAGCACTCACTTGCGCCCTCCACAGTGATGCCAGTGCGTGTCTTGCCCGTCTTGTGAATCGACGCCAGCTCCTCCACCAGGTCTCGCTCCGTGGGGCTGCTCAAACAACAATGCCACATGCACAGCAGGGGGGCGGAAAGAGGGAGGGAAGAGGAGAGTATGGTGAAGAGGTATTTTCCCCCCACGGGTCTTGCTCCATGAGATAGGCAAGACCCCGGGCATGCAGGGTGGGAAGTAGGGTTGGGAGCAGGGTTGGGAACAGGGTTGGGAACAGGGTTGGGAGCAGGGTTGGGAACAGGGTTGGGAGCAGGGTTGGGAACAGGCTTGGAACAGGGTTGGGAGCAGGGTTGGAACAGGGTTGGGAGCAGCTTGGGGATGAGGGTGGGGAGGCTTAGGGAGCGATGTGGCAGCCTAATCAGAGGAACCCCTTATAAGCACCTGACTCGTTTGGGGATGGAGACGTTGACTTGGAAGAAGTGGTCGCCACGGATGTTGCTCTTGCCCACCTTGGGCACGCCCTTGCGCTCCAGCACCAGCGTATCCCCTGGCTGTGTGCCTGCCGGCACTCTCAGCTCCGCTGCGCCGTCAACCGTAGCCACCTGAAGGGGTGAAATGGGATGTGGTAGTTGTGCAAAGATCAAGAAGGTGAGAGAGAGATCGTGGCAGCAGTGGCAGCAGCAGCACCTTGGGCACGCCCTTGCGCTCCAATACCAGTGTATCCCCCGGCTGTGTGCCTGCCGGCACTCTCAGCTCCGCTGCCCCGTCCACCGTGGCCACCTGCAGTGACACAGGAAAAAATTGGGTAATGGTATGAGTTGAGAGGGGGAGCAGCAGCTGTGGAAGCACCCCCGTGGGCACACCCTTGCACATTAACAAAAACGTGTCCCCTGGCTGGGTTCCTGCTGGCACTCTCAGCTCCGCTGCCCCGTCCACTGTCGCCACCCGTGAGAAAGAGATACATGGGATGGTTATGGTGGGGAAATTGGAGGGCAGGGGATTGTGGCAGGAGTGGCAGCAGCAGCACCTTGGGCACGCCCTTGCGCTCCAACACCAGCATTTCGCCCGACAGTGTGCCGCCTGCTGGAACCCGCATTTTTGCTGCCCATCCACCATGCCATGCACCGTTCCACCTTAGCCACAGTCCCAAAGATACATAAGTGTAGTCAATGGAGACGTTGGAGTAGAGGTTGATGCCGTCCCTGCGAATGCCCGCAATTGCTGCTTGTCACTGACCCCAGACACCTTGCATGCACACACACGAGCAGTATCACCCACCTTGGCAACGGTCCCAAGGATGGCATCGGTAAAGTCAATGGAGACGTTGGAGTAGAGGTTGATGCCGTCCCTGCGAATGCCATTTGCTGCGGCATGCCTGGTAGAAACCCAAACCTGCCCTAAGCACCCACCTTGGCAACGGTGCCGAGGATGGCATCGGTAAAGTCAATGGAGACGTTGGAGTAGAGGTTGATGCCGTCCCTGCGAATGCCCATCGTCTCCTTCACCTTCACAAACACGTACAGGTCGCCTCGCTTGCCCCTGGTGGAGGGAGAAGGAGAAGAGGGGAAAGAGAATGAGACGAGTGAGAAGGGGAACGAGGACGAAGACTAATAAGAGACTGTCTCTTTCTTCACAAACACGTATAGGTTGCCCTGCTTGCCCCTGGTAGGAATAGGAAGAGGAAGAGAAGGAGAAAAGGATGAGAGAGGGGATGTCGGATACGAGTAGGGTGTGTGTCTCTTTCACCTTCACAAACACGTATAGGTTGCCCTGCGTGGCGCTGGTGGGAAAAGAAGGAGAAGGAGAAGGGAAGGACGAGAGCGAGTAGAGGAAACGAGGGAGCAGACTAGGCAGAGGTTGCCTCCCTCAGTCCACACCAGCAGGAACGTTGATCACCACTGGCTTGCACGGTGCTGCCGCTGTTGTGATGTTGTGGTGGTAGTGCTGTGGTGGCAGTGGTGCTGGTGGTAGTGCTGGTGCTGGGGTGTTGGTGCTGCTGGTGGCAGTGCTGGTGCTGGGGTGTTGGTGCTGCTGGTGGCAGTGCTGGTGCTGGGGTGTTGGTGCTGCTGGTGGCGGTGTTGGTGCCGGGGTGGTGGTGCTGCTCGTGGTTGCCTATAGTGCTGGCGTGAACAGTACATCATCCACTCACTCACCCGCGCATGCCAGCATCGCCTTCCCCTTTGACACAAAGCACTGTCCCCGAGTCCACCACTGCAGGCACGTTGGCTTGTGTAATGCTACTGCTGGTTGTGTGGTTTGCTGGTAGTGGTGGTGCTGCTGCTGCTGCTGGTGATGATGTTAGTGGTGGTAGTGGTGGTGGAGGTGGTGGTGGTTACCTATAGTGCTCGCGTGAGCACTCAACAACCAGCCCACTCACCCGCGCACGCCAGCGTCGCCCTCCCCTTTGACGCGAAGCACCGTCCCCGAGTCCACCCCCGCCGGTACGTTGATCACCACTGGCTTGCGTGGTGCTGGTGCTGTTGTGGTGCTGTTTGCAGCAGCAGTGACTGAACAGTCCACACAAGCCACTCACCCGCGCATGCCAGCGTCGCCCTCCCCTTTGACGCGCAGCACTGTGCCCGAGTCCACCCCTGCAGGCACGTTGATCACCACTGGCTTGCGCGTCCGCACGCGCCCCTCGCCCCCACACTTGCGGCAGAACTCAGATATCACCTCCCCCACTCCTGCACACGTCGAGCACGTGGACACCTGCAGACAAGGGAACAAGGGAGGAGTGATTAGGTGGCTAAAAAGAAAGAACTCAGAGATCACCTCCCCCACCCCTGCACACGTCGAGCACGTGGACACCTGCAGAAGGGAAGACGAGAGAATTTTGTGGGGGGGGGTTTAGGAAAAACAAACATAAAATGAAAGAAGCAGCTCCCCTGCTCACGCCCCATGCCCCATGCAGGGGGACGAGCAGCCGGTGCTAAGAGTACCATCTCTTTTGAGTCGACTCAAAAGTTGACTTTGACTTTTGAGTCGACTCAAAAGTCGCCCCATGCCCCATGCAGGGGGACGAGCAGCCGGTGCTAAGAGTACCATCTCTGAAACTATCTCATGACGACCTGGACACCCTTCACACTGTTAGCCGTGTCTGCTGACTTTGCCCCGTGCCCTGGCATGTGTTTGGAAATCTCACAATTGGACCTTGGTCATTCCACACCATTGAAACGCAGCGAGGAGAACACCCCGAAGGCCGTTTGCCTTGTCTGCATGACCTGCCCCATGCCCCGGCATGTGGGCCACGTGGACTTTCACCATCCCCTTATACTCCCACACCGCCCAAACACACACACCCCTCCCAGTCACGTACCGAGGAGAACATTCCGAAGGCCGTTTGCCGTGTCTGCATGACCTGCCCCATGCCCCGGCACGTGGGGCACGTGCGGGGGGATGTGCCCGCCTTGGCGCCCGACCCCCCACACTCGCTGCACCCGTCCAGGTGCGCCACGTTGATGGTCTTCTCAGCGCCAAATATCACCTCGCGGAACTCCAGCGGCATCTCCATTCTGTAAGTGGTGGGGTGGGCGGGAATGAGTAGGAGTGGGCAGGAGTGGGCACAAGTGGGCAGGAGATGGGAAGGAGTGGGCAGGAGTGGGCGGGAGTGGGCAGGGATGGGCAGGAGTGGGTGAGGGAGGGAATGAAGGGCGAGGTCGACTTAAGACCCGACCCCCCACACTCGCTGCAGCCGTCCAGGTGCGCCACGCTGATGGTCTTCTCCGCTTCGAATATCACCTCGCGGAACTCCAGCGGCATCTCCATTCTGATGGGCGGGGATGGGCGGGAGGGGGGTGGGCGGGAATGGGCGGGGATGGGCGGGGATGGGCGGGGATGGGCGGGAATGGGCGGGGATGGGCGGAGATGGTAAGGATGGGCGAGGATGGTCGGGGATAGGCAGGAGCGGGGAGGGATGGGCGGGGATGGGCGGGAATGGGCGGGGATGGGCGGAGATGGTAAGGATGCGCGAGGATGGTCGGGGATGGGCAGTAGCGGGAAGGGATGGGCGGGGATGGACGGGGATGGGGAGGGATGGGCGGGGATGGTCGGGGGTGGGCAGGAGCGGGGAGGGATGGGCGGGAATGGTCGGGGATGGGCAGGAGCGGGGAGGGATGGGCGGGGATGGTCAGGTATGGGCAGGAGCGGGGAGGGATGGGCGGGGATGGACGGGGATGGGCAGGAGCGGGGAGGGATGGGCGGGGATGGTCGGGGATGGGCAGGAGCGGGGAGGGATGGGCGGGGATGGTCGGGTATGGGCAGGAGCGGGGAGGGATGGGCGGGGATGGTCGGGTATGGGCAGGAGCGGGGAGGGATGGGCGGGGATGGTCGGGTATGGGTATTGGCTAGGCGCATATTGGCTAGGCGCATATTGGCTAGGCGCATATTGGCTAGGCGCATATTGGCTAGGCGCATATTGGCTAGGCGCATATTGGCTAGGCGCATATTGGCTAGGCGCATATTGGCTAGGCGCATATTGGCTAGGCGCATATTGGCTAGGCGCATATTGGCTAGGCGCATATTGGCTAGGCGCATATTGGCTAGGCGCATATTGGCTAGGCGCATATTGGCTAGGCGCATATTGGCTAGGCGCATATTGGCTAGGCGCATATTGGCTAGGCGCATATTGGCTAGGCGCATATTGGCTAGGCGCATATTGGCTAGGCGCATATTGGCTAGGCGCATATTGGCTAGGCGCATATTGGCTAGGGGCGCATATTGGCTAGGCGCATATTGGCTAGGCGCATATTGGCTAGGCGCATATTGGCTAGGCGCATATTGGCTAGGCGCATATTGGCTAGGCGCATATTGGCTAGGCGCATATTGGCTAGGCGCATATTGGCTAGGCGCATATTGGCTAGGCGCATATTGGCTAGGCGCATATTGGCTAGGCGCATATTGGCTAGGCGCATATTGGCTAGGCGCATATTGGCTAGGCGCATATTGGCTAGGCGCATATTGGCTAGGCGCATATTGGCTAGGCGCATATTGGCTAGGCGCATATTGGCTAGGCGCATATTGGCTAGGCGCATATTGGCTAGGCGCATATTGGCTAGGCGCATATTGGCTAGGCGCATATTGGCTAGGCGCATATTGGCTAGGCGCATAATTGGCTAGGCGCATATTGGCTAGGCGCATATTGGCTAGGCGCATATTGGCTAGGCGCATATTGGCTAGGCGCATATTGGCTAGGCGCATATTGGCTAGGCGCATATTGGCTAGGCGCATATTGGCTAGGCGCATATTGGCTAGGCGCATATTGGCTAGGCGCATATTGGCTAGGCGCATATTGGCTAGGCGCATATTGGCTAGGCGCATATTGGCTAGGCGCATATTGGCTAGGCGCATATTGGCTAGGCGCATATTGGCTAGGCGCATATTGGCTAGGCGCATATTGGCTAGGCGCATATTGGCTAGGCGCATATTGGCTAGGCGCATATTGGCTAGGCGCATATTGGCTAGGCGCATATTGGCTAGGCGCATTATTGGCTAGGCGCATATTGGCTAGGCGCATATTGGCTAGGCGCATATTGGCTAGGCGCATATTGGCTAGGCGCATATTGGCTAGGCGCATATTGGCTAGGCGCATATTGGCTAGGCGCATATTGGCTAGGCGCATATTGGCTAGGCGCATATTGGCTAGGCGCATATTGGCTAGGCGCATATTGGCTAGGCGCATATTGGCTAGGCGCATATTGGCTAGGCGCATATTGGCTAGGCGCATATTGGCTAGGCGCATATTGGCTAGGCGCATATTGGCTAGGCGCATATTGGCTAGGCGCATATTGGCTAGGCGCATATTGGCTAGGCGCATATTGGCTAGGCGCATATTGGCTAGGCGCATATTGGCTAGGCGCATATTGGCTAGGCGCATATTGGCTAGGCGCATATTGGCTAGGCGCATATTGGCTAGGCGCATATTGGCTAGGCGCATATTGGCTAGGCGCATATTGGCTAGGCGCATATTGGCTAGGCGCATATTGGCTAGGCGCATATTGGCTAGGCGCATATTGGCTAGGCGCATATTGGCTAGGCGCATATTGGCTAGGCGCATATTGGCTAGGCGCATATTGGCTAGGCGCATATTGGCTAGGCGCATATTGGCTAGGCGCATATTGGCTAGGCGCATATTGGCTAGGCGCATATTGGCTAGGCGCATATTGGCTAGGCGCATATTGGCTAGGCGCATATTGGCTAGGCGCATATTGGCTAGGCGCATATTGGCTAGGCGCATATTGGCTAGGCGCATATTGGCTAGGCGCATATTGGCTAGGCGCATATTGGCTAGGCGCATATTGGCTAGGCGCATATTGGCTAGGCGCATATTGGCTAGGCGCATATTGGCTAGGCGCATATTGGCTAGGCGCATATTGGCTAGGCGCATATTGGCTAGGCGCATATTGGCTAGGCGCATATTGGCTAGGCGCATATTGGCTAGGCGCATATTGGCTAGGCGCATATTGGCTAGGCGCATATTGGCTAGGCGCATATTGGCTAGGCGCATATTGGCTAGGCGCATATTGGCTAGGCGCATATTGGCTAGGCGCATATTGGCTAGGCGCATATTGGCTAGGCGCATATTGGCTAGGCGCATATTGGCTAGGCGCATATTGGCTAGGCGCATATTGGCTAGGCGCATATTGGCTAGGCGCATATTGGCTAGGCGCATATTGGCTAGGCGCATATTGGCTAGGCGCATATTGGCTAGGCGCATATTGGCTAGGCGCATATTGGCTAGGCGCATATTGGCTAGGCGCATATTGGCTAGGCGCATATTGGCTAGGCGCATATTGGCTAGGCGCATATTGGCTAGGCGCATATTGGCTAGGCGCATATTGGCTAGGCGCATATTGGCTAGGCGCATATTGGCTAGGCGCATATTGGCTAGGCGCATATTGGCTAGGCGCATATTGGCTAGGCGCATATTGGCTAGGCGCATATTGGCTAGGCGCATATTGGCTAGGCGCATATTGGCTAGGCGCATATTGGCTAGGCGCATATTGGCTAGGCGCATATTGGCTAGGCGCATATTGGCTAGGCGCATATTGGCTAGGCGCATATTGGCTAGGCGCATATTGGCTAGGCGCATATTGGCTAGGCGGCATATTGGCTAGGCGCAATATTGGCTAGGCCGCATATTGGCTAGGCGCATATTGGCTAGGCGCATATTGGCTAGGCGGCATATTGGCTAGGCGCATATTGGCTAGGCGCTATTGGCTAGGGGCATATGGCTAGGCGCATATTGGCTAGGCGCATATTGGCTAGGCGCATATTGGCTAGGCGGCATATTGGCTAGGCGCATATTGGCTAGGCGCATATTGGCTAGGCGCATATTGGCTAGGCGCATATTGGCTAGGCGCATATTGGCTAGGCGCATATTGGCTAGGCGCATATTGGCTAGGCGCATATTGGCTAGGCGCATATTGGCTAGCGCATATTGGCTAGGCGCATATTGGCTAGGCGCATATTGGCTAGGCGCATATTGGCTAGGCGCATATTGAGCTAGGCGCATATTGGCTAGGCGCATATTGGCTAGGCGCATATTGGCTAGGCGCATATTGGCTAGGCGCATATTGGCTAGGCGCATATTGGCTAGGCGCATATTGGCTAGGCGCATATTGGCTAGGCGCATATTGGCTAGGCGCATATTGGCTAGGCGCATATTGGCTAGGCGCATATTGGCTAGGCGCATATTGGCTAGGCGCATATTGGCTAGGCGCATATTGGCTAGGCGCATATTGGCTAGGCGCATATTGGCTAGGCGCATATTGGCTAGGCGCATATTGGCTAGGCGCATATTGGCTAGGCGCATATTGGCTAGGCGCATATTGGCTAGGCGCATATTGGCTAGGCGCATATTGGCTAGGCGCATATTGGCTAGGCGCATATTGGCTAGGCGCATATTGGCTAGGCGCATATTGGCTAGGCGCATATTGGCTAGGCGCATATTGGCTAGGCGCATATTGGCTAGGCGCATATTGGCTAGGCGCATATTGGCTAGGCGCATATTGGCTAGGCGCATATTGGCTAGGCGCATATTGGCTAGGCGCATATTGGCTAGGCGCATATTGGCTAGGCGCATATTGGCTAGGCGCATATGGCTAGGCGCATATTGGCTAGGCGCATATTGGCTAGGCGCATATTGGCTAGGCGCATATTGGCTAGGCGCATATTGGCTAGGCGCATATTGGCTAGGCGCATATTGGCTAGGCGCATATTGGCTAGGCGCATATTGGCTAGGCGCATATTGGCTAGGCGCATATTGGCTAGGCGCATATTGGCTAGGCGCATATTGGCTAGGCGCATATTGGCTAGGCGCATATTGGCTAGGCGCATATTGGCTAGGCGATATTGGCTAGGCGCATATTGGCTAGGCGCATATTGGCTAGGCGCATATTGGCTAGGCGCATATTGGCTAGGCGCATATTGGCTAGGCGCATATTGGCTAGGCGCATATTGGCTAGGCGCATATTGGCTAGGCGCATATTGGCTAGGCGCATATTGGCTAGGCGCATATTGGCTAGGCGCATATTGGCTAGGCGCATATTGGCTAGGCGCATATTGGCTAGGCGCATATTGGCTAGGCGCATATTGGCTAGGCGCATATTGGCGCATATTGGCTAGGCGCATATTGGCTAGGCGCATATTGGCATAGGCGCATATTGGCTAGGCGCATATTGGCTAGGCGCATATTGGCTAGGCGCATATTGGCTAGGCGCATATTGGCTAGGCGCATATTGGCTAGGCGCATATTGGCTAGGCGCATATTGGCTAGGCGCATATTGGCTAGGCGCATATTGGCTAGGCGCATATTGGCTAGGCGCATATTGGCCTAGCGCATATTGGCTAGGCGCATATTGGCTAGGCGCATATTGGCTAGGCGCCATATTGGCTAGGCGCATATTGGCTAGGCGCATATTGGCTAGGCGCATATTGGCTAGGCGCATATTGGCTAGGCGCATATTGGCTAGGCGCATATTGGCTAGGCGCATATTGGCTAGGCGCATATTGGCTAGGCGCATATTGGCTAGGCGCATATTGGCTAGGCGCATATTGGCTAGCGCATATTGGCTAGGCGCATATTGGCTAGGCGCATATTGGCTAGGCGCATATGGGCTAGGCGCATATTGGCTAGGCGCATATTGGGCTAGGCGCATTGGATTGGCTAGGCGCATATTGGCTAGGCGCATATTGGCTAGGCGCATATTGGCTAGGCGCATATTGGCTAGGCGCATATTGGCTAGGCGCATATTGGCTAGGCGCATATTGGCTAGGCGCATATTGGCTAGGCGCATATTGGCTAGGCGCATATTGGCTAGGCGCATATTGGCTAGGCGCATATTGGCTAGGCGCATATTGGCTAGGCGCAT